GTAGTGAGATCAATGGGTGACACAATAAAGGTCACAGCACATCTTCATATATTGTTTCCTCTTCTTATACCGTACAGGTTCCAGCATCTTGATTTCTTCTCCCTGCTGTGGCGTCACTTTCAAGCCTCACTCTAGTCTTACTACCCCTTACCAAATTCAAGAGCTTTATATCCAGCTGAGTTTTCTCCTTGAATTACCAGCCACACCTTTCTCATACTGAACCATATAACCAAGTTGTGTGTAATATAAAAAAAGATACAGTATTGAACCATAAAGAAACTGAGTTCATGGTATAGTGCTGTTCACTAATTAAACTATCTATACTGTAGTGTACTCATCTGCCAAACAGCATATGATTCATTTATCACCTTGAAGACTCACATTATTATCACTAGTCTAAATGACATGCATGTGTGGCTGCTTCATAAGGCACAGAAAGCAAGGTTATCATCATCTCTGGCTGTCCATATGTAGGTCAGCAGATAGGCTTCCGTCCTCCACAGAGATATTTAGAAAGTACTGATAATTAAAATATACTGTATGCCTTGTCAAGTCTATCTCAATGACAAAGTCCATTAATTATTATACAAGCAGACAACCAGTGTATTCTTCATTACAGTTACAACGTGTTACTAGTACATCCAAACATGATAATTCAGACCATGAGGAACTGTCAACCAATAGCTTGTGGTGTTAGTTTATGCAGATGCTCTCCACCTATTGTATTCAGACATACAGTATATCCTCTTTCAGTGTTTATGTCAACAAACTAGCAAAATTAGTTGACATACAGACACAAATTCCATGAATAAATCTCCTGACAATACTTGAAGTATATGACAAATGACTGCCACACTACTTATACTGTACAGCTTTAATGGTTTAAGTGACAGAACACTTCCCAGCAAGAAATTAATCTTTCCATACGAACCTTAGTAAGCAAACTTAATCAACCTAGCATAAAATAATATACAGTAGTACAGCATTTCCAGCCAAAAGTAGGCATTTTCGGTAGGTTTTGCTGGTTTGTCTTGTCTACAATAAATCACAATGTACATGTAATAACATTCACTGGAAGTGTTCACGTGTACGGAAAGGACAATGTTGCTGGCAAAAACATTCATGTGTATTGCCACTCTAATATTCTTAGAGAAATTACAAATCCCATTTGTCCTTTTCTCAGGAGAGTCTTCTCAACATAATATTTTATCATCACCGTCTATACAAAAGTTTTCCAAGTCGTAGCTTCTGTTTATCACTGAGGATAATGGTAGTGTTTACATCCATGAAACATTCAATCTGTTCACATAAACAGTTGAAGCTTATATAAACATGGCTTCATCATCAGGTGGGTGGCTCGGAGCATCTTTATTTACAGGAAAAACTCGGAAACAAAATAAAACACAAAGAGTAGTATTCCTTCACCCAATTTGCTTTTTTCTAAAGATAAGAAATAATTTTTCTTCTCCAGATATTTTTCATTAGGTTGCTGGTTAACCCAAGCCCCATGTCCTTTAATATTACCTTTAATTTACCCGAACATGACACATAAGGATCGCACCTTTGGTAACTTGCCCAAAAACCAATGAAAAAATTCACATTTTAGCAGAAACTATACTGAGTAACAATGGACGACTACTGTTCAAATTCAACATAGTTCCATGATTTTTTAAGGTAAAGGTGTAGAAAAGGGCGAACACCAGAAGGAATTGTCCGAATTGGTTGAATTTTTTTTTACACACTAATATGATATTAAACACAAAAATGAAAACGACAACGCATAGAACCAAATAGAACCGGACCTAACATACCCAACCTATGGGCTTGTTAGGTCAGGTTCTATTAGGTTCTATGCATTATCTTGTTAATTTATGTGTTAAACAACTTACCTTAATATTGAGGTTGATATACATCAGCAATGGCAAGGAGCAATACGTGGAAGCGTTCACCATCATTTAGGAAACGTCTCTTGAAAAGGGATTCAGCGATATAAACAACGAAAATGGCGACGAGAGGAGAATTCTTAAAAAATGCTTATTATAATAGAAAGTCGTTGTTTCTTTTAATATACTTAACATCATCAAAACAATATACAGATCAAAAATAAAGAAAATCAACAAACAACTTCTGGTGGTCACCCTTTTCTACACCTTAACCTTTTTTTTTAAATTCACAAGATGAAGCACAACAAATGTGCTGTTCCTGAAATAACTTCAAAGTGTCTGGTAGATTTCCTCGCTAAGCCACATTAACCATCTGGTGTTGTAGAGGTAACACCTACCCTCCTGTCAGTAACCATTTCTGGTCTTCCTAACATCCTATATTATTTTTCCTATCTACCAGAATATTTGTGAAGAACACAGTGAATAAGTCAACTGTACAATAAAACAGAACTTAATACTCAAAATAAAATATCAAATAAATTAAAAGTATCATAATTATGTATAATATTAAGTTCAAGAGCGATAGATAAAGTTAATAATAACTTAGTGATAAGAGAATTCTATACCCAAGTCACATGACAGCTCAGCTCTTCACTCTACTATAAACCTTCATTATCACCAAGCTACACTTTATTAACGAGTAACAGTAACATCTCAGTAAACTATAAGACTCAGAAGTACATTATTAAAGAAAAATAATAGTAATATTGAGTAAGGTATTGGCGACATAAGGCCCTATCATCCCTCCACTAAAACTAACATAATTATGAATAAAAAATCTATATACACCTTCTTACACCCATATATAAACCATCTACACCTTGCTCTCAATAACGGGATCATATGTCACCTAATACAAAGACATTAAAACAAGGAAAATTGTGTATTAGTTATTAGAACATTTGACAACTCGAGTCAGCAGACGACATCAGCTGACTCACACACACAAGACATCAACAACATTTACCACTATAGTTTACACCACAATGCTAAATTTAACTTTTTAATATGAGCTAGGTGTTGTTATGTAGTTTGAGTATGAGTGTGTGTAGTGAGGGAAGGTGTTATAGGGTATTACTCACCGATCTTCTGGCCTACGGGGGTACCGAACGGGTTGACTCCGAAGAACGACATTTTGTTCCGTGACGTCATCATCTCCTTCACTTTCTCTATAATACAAAACACTTGATATTAATCCTTGTTATATATATATATTATCTTATTAAATTAAATAATCATCTAAATCTAAATATGTTCATAGTTTATAATCAATATTTTCTTATGTGGTTAAATTATGTTGTATTTAACACAAATGCCTCGACATGAACTGCAGTTGTCACTTATGGATTTTACTAGATTAAAAATGTTCAGTAATGTGACAGTAAGATACATATAGATATATCTCACTACATTCTGAACAATAAATAACAATGATTCCATACTGAAGTAAATGCAGCAGCTATCGAGTAATTAAAACTTTAAATAAAGCCCATAAACTGATATGTTTAATACCTGTATATACAGTAAGGTGTACCTGATCTGGGCTAAGTATATACTGTCACCTTGACCTGTGTGCAATAACATTATAACCCAAAGGAGTCAAGTCTGCTAGTAATGTTGTACTTGTATTGACAGTAAAACAAATGAAGAAGTACTAAGGTTAGCAAAAAGTTAAAAAGAAATACTTGAAATGTACATAAAAGAAAAATTAAATACCTAATGTAAAAAATTATAATATTGCAGGTACAGTAATTCCCAGGTGGTGACAGTATCATACAGGTCATGCCCTAACATAGATATGATGATTATAAGCATTTCCATAAAACACTTAGCCTTAATAAATGCAAACACTCAACATTGATGAATTAACAGAAACGTGTAAATTGAGTGGTCTAGGGTAGGAACACTCCAGGTATCAGGATCAGGTGTTGGGGAGAGATTGGTGTTTGGGAGACGGAGAGACGGATATGCCGGGTATTTCACCTGTCACCAGTCAGTATTTATATGGGGCGACTTGGAGGTGAATCATTTATCATTACGTCCACTCTCTGCAGTGGAAACCAGTACCCCTCATGACCAAGTGACAGGCGCACCTCCCACTCATTCTGGAAATCATCCTCAACAGTACTAGTTAGTTGTAGCACTTGTGAGTACGTCCCCCACTATTATAACTTTCTTAGATCTTCCCTTTTCACACCACAGTGACCTTGAGTTTTTACTGTTCCTTAATCAGTACCAATATGTACTGGACCGTGTGTGTTACACCCCCTTCAACCATGGTGTCGACACAATACTCCCTCATATCCTGATGCCTTTCTACAAAACTCACTGGGTTACACCAACCCCAATTGTACATATTACTTTCCTGATTCTCCAGAGTTTAGTTCTAGTCTCCTACTACCCCATGCCTTCTCCTTCATTAGCCATAACATCAGCAGTATTCCCCTTCACTTAGATACCTTTTTAGATCAGTGTATAAATTATCTTCTATTGCCCACAAATTTGATGTACTTGGGTTCTGCGAGACCAAACTCACTAACGATATTGACCATTTGTATAACATTCCTAATTATGATAGACACTGCGTCAACACGTCACGACACAGTGGTGGTGTCGCCCTATATGTTGATATCAAGTATAACACTTCTGTAAGAGATGATTTAAAGGTCCAGGAGGAGTACATGGAGAGTGTTTTCACTGAATTACGTAACGACACACGAAATATTCTAGTAGGAGTAATCTACAGAAGACCCCACAATAATGTAAGGAATTTTCTTGATAAATTTTCGGAGTTTATCTCTATCATAAGTTGAGAGAGGAAACTTTGCTACATTACAGGAGATGTCAACCTTGATCTATTAAGATCAGAAACCGACTCCCCAGGATTAGATCTATTCTGAATATATGTGAAAATTAGCGACGGGAATAATTAGACGCGGCGTGGCAAAAAAAATATTGTTTTATTTATAGATATACTTAAAAAAAATTGAATTAATATCTAAAATTCTTATGAAAGAAACAAATATGAATGCAGCCATACCTCGGTAACCATGGTAACAACGACGCCAAAACATTAGGCTGTCTGATACAGCGTTAAAGTGAACACAGTCTACCACTACGCATAATCTTCAAACAAATTAAATGAAAGAAGTTAATTGAAAGATACATATGGCCAAGTGCAAACTTTGTCCATAAACTGAGAAGTTTGTTGAATTTATTGTAGATTCTGAGCCTTAAACCACGTGAAATCGTGCAAGATGAGTATCAATTGGAGACGAAAATCTGATGATGGTAACAGCAATAGGGGCAGATCTATCAGTGAGGACGACTCAGAGGCAGATAAGGATAAGGAAGAAGGTGGTAAACAAGTCCAGAATATTATGAGTTTGTGTAAGGAGTCCAGCGGCATGATGGCCACTGTCACGTCTCTCCGCTCGACGGTAACATGGCGAGGCTGCCACCTCTTAACTTTAATTTTATTTATTTATTTTCTAATTTTAAGCATAACTATATAGTTTTGAATTATATACACATGTAAATATATACAACACTGAAATTCTAGGTCAGAAATTTCTGAAATTTCTGATTTTCAACAGAAGCATATCTAAAATATGACGCCAAGGTGTGATGGCATATGGCATTTTGTTCAAAAGATTAATATATCAGCTGGGAACGTCTTTAGTTACCATATAACAAGTGTTGTTTTTGTTTCTTTACTGCAACAAGTTACACATGTTAGCAGAGACTATTTAATTCCCGTCACCAAGACGCTAGACTGTTATGAATGTTGACAGTAAAGGCGTCTGGCGGCTGTGTGCGGCTGACTGACTTTAAGTACTTCAAGTGTACTTCCTTGGTACTTATCTTGAACAAAGGCTTCACACTCTTACGCTCATATCGACATACGTTTGTGTAAGAAGAATCAATATCAAAGAGGGCAGTCTCGTGGTAGACATTGAAAATATAATTAAACTCTACCTAACACAATATATTTATCTCCAGGCAATAAGGTACAGTACAAGATAATGGTATTACTAATCACAACTGTAATAGCAGGTAAAAACAACCAAGCACTCACATAAACGTACATACCTGAGTGGCTGTACAGTACCTACAGTTTTTACCTCACTGAGTGGTCAGGGACGCATCTAACTCACTGAGAGCCCAAGACCCCTTCATTATGCCTAATGAATGCCTCGTACACTGTATTAACGTCGCTAAGTGGCCACAAACCCATTATCACACTTTTTGAGTACCCTCGAACACTGTATTAGTTCACTGAGAAGTCGAGTACAATTCAAGAACATGATTGGCTGTGAACACTTAACACTTAATGAGTCAACACACTATTGTAGACTCACTGAGTAACCGTCAACGCATATTTAGCTCGTTTAAGGCCGCAAATGGTCTATTAAGTTCACTGAGTGACCGTGTTATGGTCACTTAATGGCCCTGAACACATCAAAAGTGTATTGATTGGTCATAATGACATCTTAGGCTTACTGAGTGTAAATGAACGCAACTTGCACTTACCGAGTGCTTCATTATACTGTTTTTGTGGGTTTTTTTTTTACGGACATTAGCCCACCCGGGCACAGGTCACTGACTCACATCGGGACCCGGGGGGCAAAAATGTAATAATAATAATAATAATAATAATAATAATAATAAAGAACCATAAGGAAATGCAAAAATTAAAACAAGATCTAAAGTGAGAAACAATATGTATGTTGTGTTGTTAATAGTAAGAGAAACAATTGAGACCCTGCAATTGTGTGTAAGTGAGGCAGAAAGTCAGATCATCAACCTGGGACTTGGTCACATGGCAGCAGGGTCCACCATTAGACAACACATTATGCTTCCAATATCTTCCCAGGCGGTAGTACCTCCCTGTTTGGTAGCTGCCTACTACCTACTACCTACAAACAACAGGAAATTTTAACACTATGAGAAGGCAACACCGCATTATGCTTGATGAGTGTGCACACAAACTAACAGCAATATTAATCTTATTATTATCATTATTCCTGCGGTTACTATAATTAAAATTGTTTTCATTATTTGGTTCACCTCAAGATTACTTATCCTAAATTATTTCACATGTTTAAACACCCAACCGCTTACCTAACCTACGCATATGAAATTATATATAAGGGCATTTAATCAAATCATATTTAAAATTTCTATATCATTAATCACTGAGTCAATTACTATTATCAACACGTCATCAATACATCTGTAACATATCTGGGGGCGTGACGAACATTGCACTGTGGTAACTTAATCAAGAGAGACAGAGAGAGAGATGGTTATATTTCATTAGCATTACCTTCACTTCTTTCGCACAGTGACTAATAAACTTAATTAATAACCAATAATATAGTACAGTGGTGTTTTATAAGAGAAATTATATAGTTGTTTCGTTTAAATGTTGTATTGATAATTCAATAAAGGGTGAAATTGGAACCAAGTCTGTATGGGTAGAAATTGCGGAAGGAAGAGAAAAACTAATTATGGGAGTGCAGGGAGATATGATAGAAGTATTTAAGTGGGTGAAAGGAATCAATAAAGGCGATATAGATAAAGTTCTTATAATATCCGAGCAGGATAGGACTCGGAGCAACGGATTTAAGTTGGATAAATTTATGTTTAGGAGGGAGATAGGAAGGAACTGGTTCACAAATAGGGTGGTGGACGAGTGGAACAAGCTTAGCAACTTGTAGTAAGTGCTGGAACTCTGGAAAGTTTTAAAAGGAGGCTGGATAGATTCATGGATGATAGAGAGTGGTCGTAACTCTCGACAGGAGCTGCCATGCACAGGCCAACCGGCCTATTGCAGACTCCTTATGTTCTTATATATATATATATATATATATATATATATATATATATATATATATATATATATATATATATATATATATATATATATATATATATATATATATATATATATATATATATATATATATGTCTTGGATTACTACTATAAAAAAATCCACAGCTACACACATCAAAACGATCGACAGGAGAGGACGGGGAGGAGGAGGTGGGTGTTAGCAGGGGGCGGGAGTGGGGCGAGATCAATCCCTTGACGCTGCAGACACTGAAGGAGGCGCTGGAGGAGCAGGAACCACAACTGCCAGCACTGACGCACGCTAACGCCACCAACACCGCCAGTCACGTCACCTCTCTATCCTTACAGTTCAAAGGTTGGTGTCTGTCTGTGTATTTGAATATCTTTCGATACAGTATGGACTAATAGTAGTCTTAGTAATAATAATAATTTATATCTGAACAGCAATAGTCACGTGAAAAATGGTGAAATAAATAAACAAATAAATAAATGCTTTGGGATTTTATTTCTACAGTTAAATTGTGATTCTGGGTGTTGCCTCAGCTCTGATATGAAAACATAAAACTAAGTTCACTTGAAGATTAGACACCCCCTCTTACTTCACCTGGAGATTAAACACCCTAACGCTACCAGAGAGTGTTGTGACGGCACCGAGTGTGAGCTCTTTCAAGACAAGACTTGACCAACACTGGAGCAGGTTCAGGTACATTCAGGAGCCGGTGCATGCCCAGTACTTGCCAACAGTGCGTGACAGAGACGTGACCGATCGCCTAAGAGGCTAACGAGCCGATCAGTGGTGACGAGGATAAAAGTAAAAGTACAGTGAGTGTTAAGCGTTTGGTGTATCTAATCTTGACGGAATCCAACTTTATCTGACCCAATTAGTGTAACACAACAGTGTATTAAACCCTTGAGTACAGTATTATTGTACTCAAGGGATTAGCCCTCGTATTCATAGGGATAAGCTATCGTAAACATCAGGGATTAAATATTGTACTCAAGGGGTTAAGTGGTCGCACTCACGGATTAAGATTGTAAACCCAGATATAGTGTACTTTTACTAAACTGCACTACTCTTTCTAAGTCACCTGAAGATTAACCACCCTAAACCTTACCCAAAGTAAACATTAGGATGGAGTGGTTAATCAGCAAGTGGTAATAATCTTCAGGTAATACGTGGGGGAGTTTCTGCACTTACTCTTTACCATGGTTCCTCCTCTGACGGGTGGCCACGACTGAGCGCGCCAAGGCCACAGCGTTATCATGTACTGTACTCTGGCCTTATCTCTCTCACACATATTCTTGTCTTTCTCCCCTTTCTCGCAACTAGTATGACAGTTAGGTTAGGTTACATTTGGTTAGGTTAAGTTAGATTAATCCAGGATAGAGTGGGTGGCTAAACTTCAGGTGAAATAAACTGGGGTGCCTTATCTTCACGTGATCAATTTACTGCTGTCATCACTTACACCCGAGAAAAAATAAATAAACTTACGAACTTTTGAGAATTACGGTCATGGTTGTTTTAGTAAGGTTTATCTTTCTTACCGTAGTCTGATTTTTTTGAGTGAGAGTTTTATTAGTGAGTTTATTAATATGGCAAGCTCGAGATAATGGTGTCATAAGCTCGAGATAATGGTGTCATAAGCTCGAGATAATGACGTCATAAGCTCTAGATAATGACGTCATAAGCTCTAGATAATGACGTCATAAGCTCTAGATAATGACGTCATAAGCTCTAGATAATGACCCTTCAGAATGACGAAACAACAACAAACTGTGTCGCGGTGGTGATGGGAGGGGGGAGGGTGCGTCCAATTATCTCACCGAGGACTGAATCATAGTGAACATATATGACTTATCACTTGTCTCATGGTCACCTAGAGAGAGAGAGAGAGAGAGAGAGAGAGACAGAGAGAGAGACAGAGAGAGAGAGAGAGAGAGAAATCACTTCCTGTGTGACTCAGAAACAATAGATTACCCCCTCAATGGTTGATGTAATGTCCTTGTTATTTGTCCTTATAGTCCGTGTTCTTGGTTTGTTCCCTGTCAGCGTCTGGGAGGAAGGGGGAAATCCTCAAGTAATCCATTATGTAATCCAGTAATTCCCAAACTTAATTACATCATTAACCCATTGTCACCTGTTTGCCTCACCTGATGCTAAACGAACTACCTGAGCCATTAACTAAGGTCATACATAACATTGATGGAAGTGTATGTTATAGTTTAATAACAAGTTTTATTGTTTACTTAGCTCTGGTTCCACTTCAAAACAAAACAAACACCTTAATAATGAGTGGGACGGATGGGGTTGTTTTGCTGCAGCCAGTTAGCCAATCAGGGCGGCATGGTGGCGGATACTGTCAGTGACGTGATTAGAGATACACACAGTCAGTTCAGGCTCTTTGTTGCCTGTTGAAGGAAGCGAGAAAACTGGACTCATATAAATATATAATAAAAAAAACAGTGAAAAGTTCCAGCACCTAATTCACGATAGTTGGGTACCCTGTGCACTCTGTTCTTTCCTGATAAATAGGTCAAATTAACCCAATGAGGTAATTCACTATTAGTTTGGGAATCACTGATCAAAGTTATATAGTATCGTGTTGGGTATCCGGTTACAGGTCTGGGCAGTCTGGATTTCTTGTGGATGTTGACGAATATAACTCGACTGGTGCTGAGTAACAACAGCCTCACCGACACCCGGGGACTAGAGCGACTCTCCAAGTTGACCTGGCTTGACCTCTCCTTCAACCAGGTGAGTTACTGACCTCGCGTGACCTTCCCTTTATCTTGGATTGACCTACATTATAACATGCATTATTTTATCGTTGTGTGTATAGCTCTTTATGATACCATCGAGGTTTACTTACGCAGATCAGCCGCATCAGCAGCTTGAAGTCACTGAGGAACTTGGAGGTGTTGGCCCTACACAACAACCTGCTGCGGCGACTGGAGCGAGGCGCCCTCCAGCCCCTCTCTCACCTGCAAGTCCTCACCCTCGCCAACAACAAAATCCACGACATAGATGACGTTAGTATCTTACCAGAGAACTTGTGCATGACGACTTACCACAGTTCTGCCACCTCCCACTGTGTTGGCTGGACTGAATTATAAATCTGTCCATCTTTTGAGACAGTAGATGCATGTAGTTGTTTGTGATGTCTTCTACTATAGTTCCTCGTGTTGAAAACTTGGTCATTAGTATAGCGGCGTTTGTGGTGTCTTCGTCATAATCACTGTTTGTGACGGAGAGCTGAGTAAAACACTTGAATGTTCACAAGGTCAGGGAAACCGTTTGCTTATGCCTGTGGCCAGTTGGTTCCCACCCACAGTAACTGGCGTCCCTAAGCTGTTGTGACCTTGTTAGATCTCCAGTTATTCACATTCATCCTTCTGGGTATTTTCTGTGGTCATAATTTAACCCAATTACCTCTTGTCACCGTATTGAGGACTTCTACCTAACCTAACCCACTTGTCTTATCGTATTTACACACCTTATAGATTCGTTAGAGGCACAAATTCTCATTTCTTATGAATTATGGCACAAATTATTCAAAAATCCGAAAAACATATACACTTTACTAACCAGATATACTGTATGTGTGGTAGGAATGGCTAGTCTTTCAGATGCTCGTGATAACTTTACGGTAGGGCGCAACTAAAGATATATTATTTGTAAGGGAAAAAAGTCTTGAACCTGTTAACTTATTGTTGTACACAGGTACGGACGCTGCGACAGGTCAAGTGCCTGGCGAGCCTTAACCTGGCGAACAACCCGCTGTGCGACCACCGCTACCCTGACTACGTCCTCGCTCATCTGCCCGACTTGGCCTACCTCGACCACCGCCGCCTCACGCCCCAAGACCACGCCCACGCCGCCCAACAGTACAAGTACGCCCACGTCCAACTCCAGTATACAAAATTCAAATATTACGAAGTTGTTTGTTAAGGTGCAATATATGTGCACAATGAACCAGTATTGTGCACAGTAAATAGTATTGTGCACAGTAAAGCATCGTTATGCACAGTGCAGTATTGTCTATACACAAGCTGATCTGTATGCCTGCATGGTCGACTCGCTCTGCTGTATGTACTGTACAGTATAGTAAGTCAAACAAATGTAAACCTGTATAATGATTTTACTGAGTGAATATTATTATTATTACTCCTCAGTTAGTAATTATGGGGACTAAGAAAGCCACTGGCCGCCCTCCTTGCTCTCACACAACTACAGTATCAGTCAGCTTCGCTCACTCCCTTGTGCGTTAGTTTTTCCTTAAAGTCAATCTTCTTTATTTCATTCTTATTTCCATATATAACTGCTATGAACCAGAGTCATCCACACAAAATTTATTTTTTATATCAATAAATTTAAAAGCAAAATTTTAACTTTCGTAGAAATGTTCAAAGTTGGTGTGGCAGCTCTGGTGTTGCTGGTGGCGGTGACGGGGCAGGTGGGGTACTGGGGCGAACCTATAGTGGAGGGCGTCAATGTTGAGCTACCGCTCGACAATGACCCCGCGCCTGTGTTAGGCCCCCAGCTCTCCAACCCCGGGACACAGGTTATTCAGGAAGGTGTGACGAACTCCCCACTGCCTGTGTCGAGTCAACAGTTTGGGTCGGGCCAGCAGTTTGGGTCGGGTCAGCAGCCTGGGTCGGGTCAGCAGCCTGGGTCGGGCCAGCAGCCTGGGTCGGGCCAGCAGCCTGGGTCGGGCCAGCAGCCTGGGTCGGGCCAGCAGCCTCGGCCAGCAGGGTCGGGCCAGCAGCCTCGGGCCAGCAGTCTGGTCGGGCCAGAAGTCTGAGTCGGGTCAGAAGTCTGGGTCAGGCCAGCAGTCTGAGTCGGGTCAGCAGTCTGGGTCGGGTCAGCAGCCTGGGTCGGGTCAGCAGTCTGGGTGTCCCAAGCAGCCTGTATCGGGCCAGCAGCCTGAGTTAGGTTGCAAACCCTACAACCCCGTGGCGAAAATGATTGTAACCGAGGGCGTGAAGTCTCCCCCCAAGGGACTTAAACTCAAACAACTCCTGAAATATCACGAAGGTCAAGAACAGCTTAAGCGCCAGCGCGCTAAAGTTAACCTTGAACGCTCCCGACGCCGCATGGAGCAGCTGCGCCGGAAGAGTGAAGCGAAGGTCAATCGCCAGGAAAAGAGAAAGCGTCAAATTCGGCACTATGATAAAAGAACGATGGTCGCACTGGAGCGACGCTCCATGTTGCTCAAACGTATCTTGAAGAAGCAACAACTCGAATTAAAAAATCCCGCAGGACCATGTTCCCCTGGCGGCCAGCATCGCGCTCCGGCCCTGCCAACCAAGTGCTCATGCCCATGTGGCAGTAACGCCAGCCGCTGATCTGCCAGACCTCACCATTTTATTGCTTATTTCTTTTTCACTATAAATTTCACTTCACGTCACCATGTACACACCAATGTACACAACCGGCACACGAGTATACACAACCTACATACACCTGTGTACGTAATCTACACAAACCAACACACTAACTATGTACCGAACCTACACAAACCTGCGTACGCCTGTGGACGTATCCTGCACACCTATTAACAAAAACCTGCAATTCCCAGTATTGTAGAACTCCTAATCAACTTCCATGATGGCTGTTACCGTTTTACGTATTTTCTGGACGCAGGACTACGCCACCCCTGTATTTTGATTGTGACTCGAAGTGGTCTTGTGGAGATTCTCGTGGCCAAAACACACATCTTGGTCTGCCTAAATGCCAAATCTTCTCTCAAAAGACTGGACACGAGGACGCTGACTACGTGTCACTATAGGAGACAGACTATTACGGTGTTCGTGCGGAACCAAAAAAACATCACCTCTGAGCATGTAAGCAAACCAGCTGAACGCCTGCGAAATAACTACCCAGATTGTAGAATTTCCACCAACTCTTTGTTCAAAATATCGGATTACAAGTGGTGATAGGTTATTTTAATTATTTCCGATTGATTATAAGTATATGTAGGTTAGAATAAAAAGGCCATTGCTAATTGTCACTTGAATTTTACGTTGGCCAAACAAAGGACTATCCCCTTCTCACACCAATAGAAGCCACACTGCTGCATATATGTACAAACCGCACATAGGGGCATATTATCCCTATACTGATAGTTCAGTACTCCATGATATTCTCAGGTCAAGACATTGAAAAATATCGTTATTGAAACTACACATCGGTAGATATTTGTAGTGGCTTATTTTGCCCAGCTACGGTGAAAGGTTGTGTTGTAGCCGATTTCGTAGTGGTAGATATTTCGCAAAATACCAGGGTTGGCCATCTCTGTTTCTGTCTCATCTGTGGTTGTCATCTTTCCTATAAAGTATAACTTCACATTTCCTCTTGTAGTCTCTCTGGCAGGCTAATGGATATCTCTTTGCAAGGGTGAATCCTGGGGGTGGAGAGCGGGTTCTGGGGTTCCGGATCCCCTTTCTCATCAGAAATTCGAATACGTTTTCTTTAATGTAGTATTGTAATCATGGCATTTTTGTATAGTAAAAAGTCATTACTATTGACCCCAAATTATCTCTTAATATCAAGTGCACATGGCTTCAAAATGCTCATGATATTGATCAGATTTAAAAAAAAAAAAATCCAGGGGGAGGCTTACAGCTTCACCCCCTCCCATACAAACCCCCAGCTGAGTGGGGTCGCTTTGCTCGCCATGTTACCCCACCCGCATCTTCTTGGACCCCCCTTTTGATATTCCTGGATCTGCCCGTTTTTGTTATATTTCCTGTTCATGATCTTATACACACTTCTATCACATCTCTGAAGGCAGCGGTACACCAGTGTTGGTAGATCTAATTTCTTCATCCTCTTGGGTTAGCTCAGCTCCTTTATTACAAGAACCAGCTTCGTTGCTCTCCTGTGGACATTTCAATAGTGACAACATCTTTCTTTCTACACGGGGACTAGACTGACTGAGCGTATTTCTGGTTGGGCCTAGCCATTGCCCTACACAGCTATCTCAAAATTTTAATGTCCATTTACTGGAACAAATTGCCTTGTTCACTTAGTCAAGCTTATACTACTCAAAGCCGGAAGAGCCCCCGGGTCTGGATTGCCTTGTTCACTTAGTCAAGCTTATGCTACTCAAAACCGAAGACATTCATTTGCAACCATTCCAAGGTTCCTTTCTCGGTGAACTATATCCAATTAAAATCTCTGCAATTCATTCCCTTTGGGTCTGGCTATTCTACTGTAGATGGTATACTGTGTCTCTGTACCTGCTGTGTACCTTCATGGTCTTGCACTTCTCAAGCTGGAATCTCAACATCCATTGTTAGACCACTCTTATAGTGTATATATTCCATCCAGGTCAGTGGTGGCAGTAGTTGAGGCACAGGAGGAGAAGGCACAGCAGCAAGAGGAGCAAGAGAGACTCACACGTGCGTCACAGGAGGAGCACAGAAGGGCTGGGGTGCTTGCCTTAAACGATGGCTCCCTCTTCTCCAGGATGTTCCGCGGAGATAAGGACATGGGCGTCCTCCTCCAGCTGCCCGGTGCCCACACCCTCATGACCAAGTGAGTCTCCAGATTAGGTCAGCATGTCACCACAACTGACATAGACTCCTAGTGCAGTCCTTGTCTGTCCATTCTTGTGTAATGTTTGTGTGTCCCCAACAATCCTTTTCAAATATATACCGTACTGTACAGTCTTGTCATAATCCCACAGGTACCGGGACCAATTCAATGCAGTGTGCCTGCGGGTGTTCAACGCAGGTCTGGATCATGAGGTTCAACGGCAGACAGAATTAGAACTTCTGCAGGAAGCTCTTGATGTGGCAAAGAATGACGCTGACACATATGCTCGTGGGTGAGTTATTTATTTAATTTTATGTTCCAGCTTGTGATGCACAGGAAAGCTTTAGGCTCCAGCATTTGATGTACAGAAAGGCTGTAGGCTCCAACCTGTAGTGCATGGAAGCTATAGGTTTCCGTATTTCCTACAGGGTGGTGCGGAGGGTGGAGGGGGAGGTAGAGACCGTGGTGGCAGCTGGGCAGGAGCTGAGGGCTGCTGAGGAAGCAAGTCTTGGAGATGACCAGGTGGGTGGTGTACCAAAACTCCAGCAGTACTACTTCGGTCTCTTCTGTTACTTCCACTTCTGCTTTAACGATGACTACTATTACAGACGGGCAAGGGGTGACCTAGTTGAGGTGTATAAGCATCTCAGGGGGCACTACTCAGTCTAGTGTCCTTACTTGGAGCTGGAGGATGCTCGCCCCACAAGGGGTCACAGCTCAAGATTGAAGAAGCCCCAAGTCCAGAAAACCGTGAGGGCAAACTTTTTCGGAGTGAGGGTTGTAAACTCTTGGCACAATCTACCAGAGAATGTTGTGACGGCACCGAGTGCGAGCTCTTTCAAGACAAGACTTGACCAACACTGGAGCGGGTTCAGGTACATTCAGGAGCCGGTGTATGCCCAGTATTTGCCAACAGTGCGTGACAGAGACGTGACCGATCGCCAGGGCGGCTAACGAACCGATCTTTTGGTGAAGAAGATAAATGAAAAGGAAAAGTAATCAGAGACGTGACCGATAGCCCAAGTGGCTAATGAGCTGATCAGTGGCGAAAAGGATAAAAGTAAAATCTTCTGTCATTACTACTGATTAGTGGTTTTTTACCTACAGTATTTACTTTTGTCTGGGTCTTGCCTAATATAAGCCATAAGACTCTTTCCCTATACCATAATATAATCTCCAACAGTTCAGACCATTTGGCTTTGAATATTTTCTTCATTTGATAATGACACACTTGGGTAAGTAGATCAGACAATAATGTTGCCATTTTTGCCAATTCATATGTACAAAAAAAATTAACTGGCTTGGGATTCATATACAGCCTGTTTGCTTCACAGGTTTGTTATTTACTCCATACACCAACTACAGTAGTACCCCGCTTAACGCGGTCAATAGAACCCACAGGGTACCGTGTTAAGTGAAAACCGCGCTAAGTGAACAACAGAACATATGGGATTAATTCCAATAGAAACTGGCCCGACCCCCAAACTCCACTTTTTGACGACACACAACTATGTTGTAGTAAAAATTTTATCTTAACTTTATGATGGTATGAAAAAACAAGTAATATAGAAGAGGTTAGGGTAGGAAAAATAAAGGTTAAGTTAGGAAAAATAAAGGTTAGGTTTGGAAAACTAAAAGTTAGGTGGAACACTTACGTTAGTAGAAGATATGGGTCGGCATACAGGGATGGAGGCTGGTTCCGAGGCAGAGGGCAGGCTACTGGCCCTCAGGTGAGTCACCATCACTGTCATCCACACTTGTCAGGGCCTCCCTGACAAATCCCTCAAAGTCATCTTCACTGTCTCTACCTCTGTCACTATCACTGGCTTGGGCTGGCTGTGGTGGGTTGCGGGCGAAGAACTCAGTTATGCTTTTTTGACGGCTAGTGTTAATGTTGTCTTGATACACCGTGATGTACGGCTCCATAGCCTGCACCAGCCGGGTATGGAAGACTTCATAGCAGTCATCGTCATTGTCGCGGGAAAGGAAGGACTTCATTTTCTCTGCACACTCCATGGCACCCTTAATATCACTATGACTTAAACTGTGTTCTTCGGAGAATGACGCACCTTCTTCCTCCTCTTCACTGACGTGATCTTCTTCCAACATCTCGTCGGCAGTCACTTCAGGATCTCTGATCACCTCCAGGATGTCTTCGTTGGTGGTCTCGGAGAAGCCTTCAGCTGTAATATTGAGCGCAGCTTCTCTGGCAAGGTCCACTGCTACTGCAACAGTCTGAACCTCACCAGTCACAGGTTCACTCCTCCTCTCAGCTGGTATGCCATGCAACACATGTCTCCATGCGTGACGAATCGTAGCAATAGACAGCTAATCCCATGCCTCCACCAAGAAGTCTACAGCTTGTTTGACGTTAAACTTCTTCCAAAATTGTTTGACGAGATTTTCTTGAGTCACCACCTCTTGTTCCTTGTCCTCGTCGCTTTTACTCTCGCTGTCGGTGTCATCCAGCTTACGCAACTCATCCTTGGTGTTGGTAGAGTCGTTCAGGAGCTTGAACTTCTTTGCAGAGTACGCAGCTTTCGCATTGCAGATCAACTCCTGGTCCATGGGCTGGATTAATGACGTAGTGTTGGGAGGAAGGAATAAGAATCTATGTTTTAAGGTAATTGGTTAGACTGTACAGTAATGAATTAATTTACCGACATCCAGATCCCCACGTACTGTATAGTAGGTCATTGTACTCTATACAGCAGTATAGTATAGTTGACAAAATATTTAAGTAATAAAATGTCTTGTGTGTGTGCATGTATGTCTAGATTTCTTGACTGGTCTCTCCATATTTAAACTCTCATACTGTATATAGTATGAAAAAATTTCTTTGAACACCGACATTATCGAAAACCTCTAGTACATCAAGTGCCAGGGACCAGTAGCTATATTTTCTCTTGAAGAAAAATGTTGCTGTTGATTCGCTTGTCAGCCTTCTTGTATTATATACAGTACTGTATTACCAAGTACAGTATTGTCATTTATGATATAAGAAGTGATACCTGCAGGAGGCACACGAAGCCAGAGTGGCCAAGGCCGTGGCACTGAGAGAGCAGTTTGATGCCCTGCTGGATGACGCCTCCCAGGATCTCCTCACTGCTGAGGTCACACTTGCTGACCAGGTCAAGGTCAGGGAACACATTTAAATCATGGAGATGCTTGTTACAGTCACTGTAGTTCTGATTTCCTGCCAAAATATTAAATTGGAACCATTACATGTAAATAATGTACAGTATTTGTAAATATGCATGAATGTTTTCTTGTACCATGTAATAAATAATAAAAGCCCAATATTTTTGTTTTCCACTTCAGTTCATTTTTGTTCTTCCTGATTTATGCAAGTATTATAGTCAGCAGTTTGGTCCAAGAGACAAATTGAACACCTTACAGGATGTGGTAGATCGTGCCAGGGAGGAGTTAGGAACCCTTGTGGGCAACTTCCTGGAGGCGGCGGCTATGGAGCTGCAGGAGGGACGACGCCTCGCCTACACCTTCTACTGTCGCCTCCGGGAGCTAACAGCCAAGGTACCAAATTAGATATAATTAAAGAACTACAGTACTGTTTGTGGTTATTCCAGAAGTTCTTCTGTTATCACTGCTATCTTAGGTAGGTGCTTGTGTGTAGGTAATGTACCATTTCTTATACAGTCGATATTTAAGGAGTTGAAGTGGCTTTCTTTCTGACCTTTCCTCCAAATATCATTCCATTGTGCTGTAAACTAAAGGTTACAGGAAGTTTGTCCATTCACTTCCCTCTAATCATTCTATCATTTCAGATATGAATTGTTTCTCAAGATCAGGACAGATAATAGACATTGTTCTCTCACAATGCAGACTTGGGTTTTCCTCCCTTAGGATCACTATATATACCTGTGTGTATATATATATATATATATATATATATATATATATATATATATATATATATATATATATATATATATATATATATATATATATATATATATATATATATATATATATATATATATATATATATATATATATATATATATATATACTGTGTATATATATATATATATATATATATATATATATATATATATATATATATATATATATATATATATATACTGTATATATATATATATATATATATATATATATATATATATATATATATATATATATATATATATATATATATATATATATATATATATATATATATATATATATATATATATATATATATATATATATATATATATATATATATATATATATATATATATATATATATATATATATATATATATATATATATATATATATATATATATATATGATGCAAGTTTCTTCAGTGCTCCACAACATGACACTGGACATAATTTTATAGGTTCTGTCTTCAGCTACTAAACCTCCTCACTCAACTAATCTTTCTCTCATCCAATACTCCTCATCTGTACACACAGCACTGCCACTCTTGTTTTCCCATTATAACACATTTTTTCATACTTTTAAAGAAAATCATTAATCTTCATATACTTTACTGAACTTCCATAGTTCTTGTCTCTCCATTTACCACTATTACCTTCTAAATCCATCATCTGTGTATACTGTGATCCCAATAACTGGAGAATATCATACATTATCACTACTCTATACTATACAGTATACAGGATGATTCAGCAAAGAGTACATTAAATTGGAGGATGAAATCCTTGGATAATTCTAAACCACAATGTCTCTATGGTAAAATGTCAGTTTCTACATAGTTTCCATGTTACAATACATTTAAGATGTAAATTTGATGTGAAACTCCCTCCCCCTGTAACTGCCTCTATCTCATTCGGTCGTACACGGTCCCTGTCTCACTGCACACGTGTCAGCCATCTGTCTCACGCTGTACTGCTGTACATAAGACGTCTGTGAATAAATTATTGCAAAAATCTACGGGAGTTTCACATCAAATTCACTCTAATTAATACATCTTAAATATATTGTAACATGGAAACTATGCAGAAGCTGACATTTTACCATAGAGACATTGTGGTTTAGAATTATCCAAGGATTTCATCCTCCAATTTAATGTACTCTTTGCTGAATCATCCTATATAAGCAGTGAAACATACAAAACTTTGGATATTTGGTTAACAGTAGAAATTGTATCTGGTAAATAAAACACCACGCCAAGGTATACATTAGATGAGTGTAACAAGTTTAACCCTCTGTTACTGCTGTGTGGCAGATGGTTGATGATGGAGCAGGCGGCAGTGAGGGCATGGATGAAGAGAGGACAGCACGAGTGTTTGAGGGCAGCGACACACTCACATCAGCCCTGGCAGGGATTCATGACCGCCATCTGGCACTGATTGATTCCCGGGAGGCTGACCTGCGACAGCACTTGCAGCAGTGGCTCACACACACACTCCATGAAATTTCTAAGTGAGTCTGTAGATCCTCACTGAGGTGGCTATGTCCTGTGTGACCCATCTTTCAATCATGTATAGAGTATAAATACCTTTCTGTTGAATTATTTAACTGTTATTTCTTTACTTCATACTCCTGCCAATATCTGCACAATATCTCAACAGAACTTCCATGTGCATAAGAAACTAGTGTAATTATCATTGCAACAGGAAGTACTATACACACACAATATTTCAGGAGCATTTAAGCATTAACCTTTTCTGGTAGTAAAGAAAAGTTTTAGGAAGCTTTCATCTGTGATAATTCCTCATCATCCTCCTCCCATAATATTGTTAAAATGAATTCAAGCTGATGATAATGAGTCAGTTACCATCTTACAGAGCAGAGTGGGCCAGGCACCGGAGCCGAGTGGAGGAGATCACAACCCTGACAGCGAGACAACGGCAGCTGCTGTACGATGCTCTGCCCACCACACATGAATAGTGAGCTTCTGGCAAATGAGGGATAATTAAGGGTTCTGTGACAACTACCATCTTCAGCTCTTAACTACCTAGGAAGGAGATAGTTCCTAGTAGTACATCTGAAGCATTAGTAAATTATCTAGGACAGTGTTTCCATTACTTGCCCTAGTAAAAGTATGAAGTCAAATAGATACCCAAAGACGATTCATGTCAATAAAACTTTCACCGAACACTTGAAATAATGGTTGTCATGCCTGAAAAAATCACTATAAAAATTTTGACATGGATTATCACTACCTTAAGTACTGTATCCAACCCCCATTATGCTCTGAAGACTGTCCCGAAGAAAATAAAAATAAATGGTACATTATCAGATCCATAAACCAACAAATGGACTCCTGCCACCGAGTTCCTTGCAGGTAATGGGAAGTGTACTCTGGAACACGTCAATAGGATAACAAAATAAAACAAACCAATGAAACTACTGTATCTTTCTATGGTATATATACACAAAATACTGACTATAGTACTATAAATTCTCACACAATAATCCATGTTTCATGAATACAACTGGATACTTTAAGCATAGTAATAATGGTCTACCTGGTTTGGCTGAAAAAGGTTTTAAAAAATTATGGCCCCAAAGTTTATGGTTTCACAGTGCTGTAAATAACAAGTGCTATTTTATCTATTCTGTGTTAAATGCAAAATAAAAAAATCACTCAATATTCACGAGAGAGAGAGAATTTTTTACTGGCAAAGTCAATGTACTCCTCTAAACTTTTGAATATAGTGCACTTAATTTATATTCCCATCATTAATGAAAATGAGGAGTATTCAAGAGCCAGTCGGTCATGATAAGATGCATTAGTTCAAGTCAGTCCAATAGTTACTCCATTTGTCTGTCCATCAGGCTCTGCATCCACAAAGGTTTATACCAACACACACAATCACTCATGAACACTTTCACACACACATTGATATACACACTGTTACGAGTGTCCACCATAAGTTCTGTTCTGGGTATGAAATATGTTGGTTTGGAGGGTGTGTGGTTGGCTCGAGCAGTTTCGTTCATTACTCGCCCACACTGACTGAGTCATCATTTAAGTATTAAATCTATTTATTACATTGTGTATTGGACTGTATTATGTTTGATTGTATTGTGTATGATTGTATTAAGTTTGTATATAGGTTAGATAAGTGGAATTAATGTCAGTAGGGGAATTTATGTAAATTTTACGTTTTGGCCAATCAGGATATGATACGTCGGTATTTGGCGGTAGAGAGGTGACCGTCTGGTAGTTGGTAGTCAGTCTAGGCACAGCTGTCTGGTGACCAGCTGGTAGTCGGTAGTCAGTCTAGGCACAGCTGTCTGGTGACCGGCTGGTAGTCGGTAGTCAGTCTAGGCACAGCTGTTTGGTGACCGGCTGGTAGTCGGTAGTCAGTCTAGGCACAGCTGTCTTAAGTTAAGTAGTATACCCTCTCTCTGGTATTTTGGGAGTTGGCATTTGACTATTGAGTTTTGTTATTGCTTGATATTGATTTTGTGTTATCTTGTTGTACCTTCAGTCCTTACTCAGCCACTTCCAAACATCTTGTCGTATCATTATTGTTATTTATTTTATGTTATGTACAATGAAAGACAAAAGTCGTGTCGTGAAATTTGGTGAAAACATATGCTGAAGGGCTAAACTTTTGGTCCGCTCTGCTTTGTGGTAGGGGGCTCTCATAATGTGTCGAGTTATATTTAATGTTTGTACAAAACCGCGACACGACTTTTGTCTTTGATTGTACATAGGTGATGGTGGTGGGAATAAGCTAATAAATGTTCATATTTTTATTGACTTGTTTAGATTTTGACCTGTTAACTTGACCTTTGTTGGGAGAACTTGGGAGTAAGAATATAATAATAAATACCGATACATAGAGCTAAATGATGTCACTACACAGGTAAGAAGAACAAATGACGTAAAAACATGGTGAGAGGTCAAGACAACAGTAGAGATTAAAAAAAAAATCTCACTGTAACACCCTACTGCACTGACCTCCCCACCAATTGTAATTCAAGACTAATTTTCACAACAGTTGTAATAAATTTGAATAATAATACTGTAAAAAAAATATATATGAAGGGTAAGTTAGATCAGTAAAAATGTATAAAAACTCCACTGAATCAAACATAAGCTAGGATAAAAGATTGACAATACGATATAATTACCCCAATAAAATATCTTGTTTTCTAAAGCACTACTGTACAATGATATTGTAGTTATTTCCTATAAGAAATGTAAATTCAACAATCCTACATCATCTTATCCATGACTGTACACAACAAACACACACACACACACACACACTTGGTCACTGTTGTCTAAAAAGTTCCAACATTATAAACGATTGGAGTGAGTGAGCGGAAGAGTCAAGATCAGGTGAGGGAATAACCTGACCTAACCTTACCTAATCTAACCTGACCTAACCTTACCTAATCTAACCTGACCTAACCTTACCTAATCTAACCTGACCAAAGCTAATCTAGCCTTACCTAATCTAATCTAACCTGACCTGACCTAATCTAACCTGACCTTACCTTATTTAACTAGACCTAACCTAACCTGTGCCAATTACAAATTCTGTAAATTCTTGTGGGTGTTGATTGCAGTTCCTCAAGTCTATACAACATTCACCAAAGAATTTTCCCCTTGTATTACACTGTACGAAGCAGCACAACATGTGCTAGAACAAGCTCAGTAGGACACTCACCATCAGTCTCTTTATTCTCTGCCTTTAAATATTTTATAGTAGAGAAAACAAACAAAGTTTTGTATAAGATCAAAACTATCTTCTGTGTACAATGGGGTGTGGTGGCGGAGAGAACACGGTCAGTGGCGTAGCTAGAGTGTGTGCCGCCCGGGGCGGCCCTTGAGTTTGCCCCCCCCCATGCCCCCACAAAAAATACATATTGCACAGTGACTCACCTAACCTAACCAATAATTAACCACAGAGAAGAACAGTATATTTTACCCACAACTATTTAATTATGTCCGTAACTTTTGAAAGCCCTTACTGTTGTCAGACAAAAGCCACCCTGATCAAAGTAGGGGGCTTTTGTCTGGGTGGCTTTCGTCTGGGGGGCTTTTGTCTGGGTGGCTTTCGTCTGGGGGGCTTTTGTCTGGGTGGCTTTTGTCAGGGGGGCTTTTGTCTGTACCCCAGTGAGGATAGTGTCTTAGTATAAAATCGCAATGCTGTGAAACAAAATCTTAATATTTAATCTCAGTACCGCAGCAAAAGTCACATCAATATTTTTTAACCAATACTTTAATATTTCTTACCTTATAGTATTATGTCTTCCAACGAAGTAAATAACTGGATCGAAAACACAAGAGAACTTAAAAGTCGTCTAGCCTCCCCTCGTCTTGTCACGATGGAGACTTGTGCAGAACTGAAGTGAATTGCTTGTAACTGGTGGATTGGTCGGCTGTACATGAACTGATATGACCCGAGACTGCATGGTTTTGCAGCTACTGGAGACGTTAATCCTTCCCTTTGTATCGGCGGCAAGTTAATCCTCGTCGTATCTGACCTAACACCTGACCCACACCACATGAGCTCACTGGCGTACTTGTTTGAAGTTGTTTCCTTAATCCTCAACAGGTTACAGGTTGTGTGTGTGGCGGGGGGCCTCATAGCAAGGGTGTAGCTCATGACGTGGCCGTGATGATGTGGGTCAGGTGTTAGGTCAGACACGACAAGGATTAACTTGCCGCCGATACAAAGGGAAGGATTAACGTCTCCAGTAGCTGCAGATATGGGTGATGATCAGACCCAAAAGTGCCGTCCCCCCCTAGCTACGCGAGTGAACACGGTTCTTGCCTCCTGTCCTTAGAGCTACTGGTCACCCTAGATCACCCTTTGATCTTCTAGCTGAGACTGGATACCCGACTTTACAGTTGGGGGAAAGTGTAGGAGTGATTGTACTGCCCCAAACAGCCTGACATGCCTATGGGACCATTTTCATTTAAGTGAACCTGTATAAGATATTAAATACTGTTCAGCAATTCCATTAAATTTTCTAACTTATGTATCCTAAAAATTCATGATGAAATTAACCTTCTGATGGTTATACCAAACAACAGAATAAGATACCTATTCTAGTAACATGGCACACTGTACTATACTGATGTAACCCATCCTGAGCTCATGAGTGGTGGTGTAGGAAGCCTCACTGCAGACTAAGAGAGATCTGAATATCAGTAACGGTATTCACATCTAATTCAGTGTCTGTAATAATTTCCAAACTTGATAAGAACATCTGTAGTATAATTAATTATCACTACCGTACTCAATGATTCATCCCTAAGAAACAGTTAATTATCACCAAGAAACTTCCAAGATGGTGCAGATGCGTGTAACCATGACACCACTTTCCATCCATCAACAATAACCTTCCCAGCTAAAAATAATACTTATGTACAGTATTTAAAAAGTATAGTTAAATTGTATACAATCTCAATGTAAGAGTTATTTACATAGCTGCATATTACTATATATCATGACATGTACTTACCAGAAATGAACAAAGTATTTTTAAGAAATACCCATATAAGATTATTTCTGCAATTAAAAATAGTTGTGATAGATTGTAAGTTAATTTTTTACAATGCTCATTTTAATTTTACAGTGGAAGTGGTTGTCATGCCTCAACACACACTGCACCACCTCAAACACTACCCAGCAGAGGTACACACGAGTCCTATCACACCTGAAAAACACTCAAATACTCGGGCACCTTTCATTACATTTCTACGATTATGCATACATGTAAAACTTACTAATGGAAGACTAACAAGTACTGTATAAAAGTCATGGAGATTGTAGTGTAGTACTACATAACAATTGTAATCTCTTAAATCAGTATTCTATTAGTGGCAACATATCCCCATCTGTACTATATTCCACATTCTTCAACAAACAACTTACTGTACAGATTTAAAAAAAAGTAAAACAGTTGCCTAAATATAAACTGTCCCCCACAACAGCATGAAGTGATTTTTTTACAGAGTATAATGAAGCAATGTTGGTTCAGTCAATAAGTGCTACAACAAGTCACTCTTCCCCATTTATGTACAGCACAAGAAATCAAGAGTCCTGTACTACTGTGTTAATCACTAACAAACACCAGGATCAAACATAACAATTTATCTATATTTTCTAAGCACAACCTGAGCCCAAACCTCGCCTCTCCCCCAGGAAGAGACTTTAATGTTAAAATAAACTTGTTCTATCTACTTTTGACAGAAAACTTGCACCCTGGTAGTCATCTGGCTCTTGGAACACCATATACAATTGATATCTCCATTAGCTGTAACAATTGGTGCTGAGCACTTCCGGGAATGAGAGATTTCCGGGTAACGAGACGACTCTCTCAAAGCCAGAAAAAATCCCTCATCCCCAGAATTTTCTGGGTAAAGGAAATTTATTCACGGAAGTTCCAGAAATTTCCATTTCATCATTTCTCAAATCTGGAAAAACGTCCCACATCCCCGGAATTTTTGGGGAACCGGGAAAATTTTCTCAGAATTTCTGGAAAGTGCACCTGATTTTCATCTCGCAAACCCGGAAGAAAACTCACCCATCCTCGGAATTTTCTGGGCATAAGGAAAATTTTCTCTAAACTTTCTGGAAAATGTGCCCCTCGGAAGATCATTCCCAACGCCAGAAATTTCCGGAAAATTACGGCTTTGGGAACGATCTTCCGAGAAAATTTCAATTCCGGCTATAGGAGAGTTCCGGGTTTGAGGGATTCCGGCTAATGGAGATATTACTGTACCAGTAAATACAATATAACTAAATAAACACAAGGATGAACATCATTCCTCACTGAAAAGAGTATAAATGCACAGAAGCCAGATGTCAGTAATATTCACACTTATAACAGCTACTACTATATTAAAACCTGATAACAAAAGAATGCATCATCAAACTGAAACACCTCCAGCCTGAACCAATGACTACCAAGATGTCTGCCACAGGTCACTGCCTCATCACAACCTACAGTCTGGAGATATTTCTAATACATGAACATTGGCAGAAAATGTGAATTACTGTATACTGGAAGAATCAACCTAAGCAAACTCCGCTCTAGAACCCAATCCATAACATTAGCTGAATGAACCACCGAGGAATGAGTAAACCTGAGTTATATACAAGTTACAAATGGCAACAAAATGAAATATTAAAAGAGGGCACTAAAATAGAGCATAAATGATACAACACCATAAAACACATTGACCCCTTCACTCCGGGCACACCACTTTTGATATTTTATTTGGCCAATATTACCAGGTTTTATTCATCAGAGAGAGGACCCCGTACACAAGGGGTTAAACACAGCAGGAAAGCAGGGGAGGGGATTCTGTTCTTAGCATCAAGTCCCACATACAGGAAAGATTAAACAGAATTCCATAAGTGATCAGAAGGGAAGGGAGAGACTAAGGACAGAGGAAGGATAATGTAAGCAAGTCATGAAAAGGAGATACAATAGAGCCTGAGATAAAACTTAAAAAAATATATATATATATTCAAAAGTCAAAGGAAAACATTTCACTCCTGTTGATGAGGATTTTGCGTTAAACAATATGACACAATGGACAAGGGATTTTAACAACCCTACCGAGACATAAGGAGTTGTGGCGTTCATTTTGATATTTACCGGACCCCCCCTTAAAGATACTTTTGGAATGTGTGTGTGTACGTATATAAGCCTTTACGTTTGTGATAGAAAATGTCCTTAACCCCCTGAATATGATGACTTAACCACCTGCTTAAAATGGTATCTTATTAAAGGGAATAGGTCATGGTACTCAAGAGTGATTAAGTCAATGTACTCAAAAGATTAAGTCAGGATTTAGTCACTGTATGGGCACCGCACACAAGAGGTTAAAATACCTACTGTACATACGAGGAGAAAAAAATCACTAAAAACAAAATGTCATGAAGTTGTCAATAAGAGGCCCATGTGTGTAAAATTAAAAGTACAATTTACATCATTAACTTATATAAGCACATTGATTAATCTGACAGTGCTTAACAAACAGTAGAGCATAAACTTTGGGAGGCAGACTGGCCTTTACATGACAATGGAAACTTAAATAATAAACAGACACACAAAAGCTGCAGTAATGTTTGATCGTGATACAGTCTATTAACTCACAAGACATCACCAAGCATATATCTTATTTCCTCACAAGACATTACTGAACATATGCCTTATTTCATCACACAAAACATCACTGAGCATATGTCTATCTCTTCAAAAGACATCACAGAGCATGTCTTATTTCTTCACACAAGACATCACCGAGCATATGCCTTATTTCTTCACACAACAGCTCACAAGACATCACTGAGTATATTTTTTTTTCCTCACACAACAGCTCACAAGAGATCACTGAGCATATGACTGAGCATCTTTAATATTCACAGGAAGACATTGTGATCTGGGATAAGACGGTTCGTAACAGAGTATCTCTGGCTCGTAGTAAATATGCAGAATGATAAAGACTTATAAAATATATTTGGCTCGACATTTACAGAAAAGCTACACCAAAAGATATGATTTCACTGTAAGTTTTGGCTAAGTTAAAGCTCCCGTCTCATTCTATAGTCTGATGCAAGTTGTTGAATTCTATAAAGGTGTTGGACTGTGTGTGTCTGTCTGTTGATATTTCTGCATCTGCTTCTTACTCCCCCCAAACTGTAGTAATAGGAAGTTGGTAGCAGGGATACACAAAAGAATGAGTACAGATTATGGGATTATAATGTTGTTTTATGTGGGTATATCATGTACTGTTTGTGGCACAATTGTTCCAATATCCTATAGAGTACAGTACTTTATCATGGTGTTCTTCCTCCTCCTCCTCCCATCTAATGTTGACAGTGGACCGTGGGTGAACCAGATTGTTCTTGTTGTTCTATCTACTGTACATCATGTGGCCAAAATTCATGACTGATACTAACATTTTTATCTTGGTTTTACCTAACAACTGCCTCACACATGTATGAGTACAGGTACACATTAATGTATTATGTACAGGTACAGCGATTTCTGTGAAGCGACAGTCACCCATACTGGAAGGTTTTACCTAATGTTGTGAGAGTTGGTGTGAAATACGTATCATTTTTGTGTGTAGACATATGAGGAACATAACATGATACCACATATTTGTGGTTAAAGTTCACATGCAACATACACCTAGTCTTGGTCTCGTGTCACAACATAACATACAAATTCATTTAAGGGGTGATATCAGGGTTACAAAGCTGGCATGATTATATATATATATATATATATATATATATATATATATATATATATATATATATATATATATATATATATATATATATATATATATATATATATATATATATATATATATATATATATATATATATATATATATATATATATATATATGTGTGTGTGTGTGTGTGTGTGTGTGTGTGTGTTCAAAGGAGATACATGTCATGCACCAATGAGTTAAATAATAAGCAATATACCAACTTAGAGTTATTGAATTTTTGTACATGTTTAAAGGTTGGACTCATGGTTGGCATGACTGATCTTTGGGCTTACAGACACACTATAAATATCCTCATTGCACACACACATTTACAAACACATACATACTTTGAACCACTAATGTCACCCCTTTACTAAGTACTTCCATCCAGTACATATGTCAAAAGTGAAATTGAACAGATCATAAAAGAATTAATCACAACTGAATCCAAGTATATTATCTACACTAGGAGTAACTTATTCTTCACAAGTAAAATAAAAATCTATAATGTTTTCGTCACTGTCACCAATCAACATCATATATCCTTCAACAACTTAAAATAATATCAACATAAGATATGAAGATCCATTTCCCAAGCTACAGAAATGGTCATGAAGTGCAAGACAATAATCACCAGGAAGTGCCTTGACTTTTGGGGGGCATCCACTCCTAACAACCAAGACACCAATCATTTTTTCTCTATGGAACAAAAACATAAATGCATTACAAACTAAAATACTAACCCAGGATATCAATAGCAAGGTAAAGTAACTAGCATGTGTAACAATAACATACATAAACACATTAATAATTATCTGGCATAAGGTAATAAATAAGAGGAAATGTATGAGACACAATGATCCCCCCTCTCTGATGAGTAGCTGAGGTCCCTATACTGTGGTAATAGAGAGAGGAAGGAGTTCTAAGGGGTCACTGAGAGGGCCAACAAAAGAATAAGATAATGAGAGAGAAGAGAAAGAGAATGATGGTGTAGGAAGAACTCAAGGATAAATAACAAGATAACAAATTAAGAGAATATCACTAACGAAAAAGCATAACTAGGAAAAATGACAAATTACCGATAACTGAAGACTGATGAGTGACGATAACTACTAAATCAAGTCACAAAGAATCGTATTAACTACTGTACATCAACTGGACTAAATGAATCAATTTATAAACAAGTGTCAAATTATCTCCTGTAAACATCCATTCAAGACTTCTATATAAATGAATCATCGTGATGAAGTTGATTAGTTCAAAATACCGTAACACGTCACAGTCAATTAATTCAATAACAATGTATAGTTTCTAGTGGCATCTTACTATATAAATAAAAAAAAATATCAATGTATAGTAGTTGTGAGATAAAAAAAAGAGAGAAATTTTGAGTAAATTCGCCAATATGTCACCAACGGATGTTTCCTTACGTTACCACGCCAGAGATGGATAAGTACAAAGCTACCTTGTTTGATGTTTATGTCTATCACAAATAATGCCCTTAAGATTAAGTCATGGTTCTGGACATGATAAATATTGCACACTGTATCTATATATATAACAATACTATACAATAAACAATTATCTTCTTTTTGCCCATTAATAAACTATATCTCCTAAAAATATGCAGGAACAAGAATTACTTTAAGTTTGGCTTTCTTGCACAATATCTACAAACAATTATATATAAAAAAACATGTAATAATTCATCTACCAAAAGAAAGGCAAGCAGCAGTACCAGCAGATGACTTGACCTACAGTTCCTCTAGTACTTAATGTGAGTAGGATGACCTACTTGCATCTTGGCCACTAGTGCTGCCTAAATGTGGATGGATCTTTGGGGGTTCGGGGATATCGGATTATACTCGTAACTTCAGATCAAACCCGGTTTTCCCGAGTATCAACGGCCACACAACCAGAAAGTGAAAGATGTCGAGCTAGAGCCGCCACCAACTGTACCTCCATCGGTGATATGCTACGTTACTGTACATCCCGAGAACAAACAGCAGCGGACACAGTCACACACGTCGTACTCGAGTTCCAATAGTGACAGGTAATTCCTAGACATTCACATATTACAATTGTTAAATTATTCCTCTGCCAACAACATATTAAAAGACTTCATATTCACTATAGAGTCACTCTCTTTTATGTACTGTACTGGATGTTATCTGGGAAATGGCTGGACGTTTCAGGTTCTTAATAAACCTGGACACTACAGTTTCTTAAATACACTGGGAATACCTCTGTTACTTTCTCTCCTTTATGATTCATTGGTCAATTTACTTTATCTACTAAAAGTCCTACTTGACAAAACCACTTTCAACTGTATCAAGTCACCTAAATCACAAAAACTCACTGGAGGAATTTTATTTGTCATGTTGATTAAAAAAAAGTATTTAGTAGAAAAGAGGAAGCCAAAGATTTCAATACCTTTGAAATTGGAATTGACTAGCACCATAAAAATACTTTACACATCCAATTTCACTACATTTAAAAAATACTTTCATTTCATTTAAAAATACTTGTTTCATATAAAAACCTTTTACTGGTACTATTTAAAAATACTTGTCTGTCACTCTAGTTCCTGCTTGGTATAAAATAAGGACGGCTGTTTCAACACCCTCATGGGTTCTATGTCCAAGTTTCCGTAGGGAGCAAAGATTCCTTGTTCCACCCACCGGGCTTAAGGACCTCGTCTTTCAGAAAGTCGAGTGGGAATTGAACCAAGTGCCCCTGTGTGAGAAGAAAAAAAAGAGAGAAATTTGTTATGCAGTATATCAGAGATAAATACCTAAATATTCTTCTTATCAGTCTTGTTTACTTTTAAGCTCTTGAGTGTAATACCTTAACCCCTTGAGAACAATGCAAATTTCCTGAGTACAGTACAATAAAGTTGCCTAATGAGTACAAAGTCTTAAGCCATCCCAAACTGATAGAAAATAGCACACCAAGTCAGGTACCAAGATGACAACCCCTTGAGGTAGTGTCTTAACCCTGACTTATTCCTGTGAGTAATATAACACTTGTTTTGTACTTATGTTTTCCTCAGTCATCCCATTAGGTGTCTCGTTTTCTCTTGACACCCTATAATCACTGTGAAGGTTAAAATCTTCTTAAGTTTGGGATATATGTTTTGTTTTTCTGATTTGTGATGTTTTAGTAACTGATATGATTAAAGAACATTAATACAGTGGTCCCTCGGTTAACGAAAGGTTCGATTAACGAAATTTCGGTTAACGAATTAGCTCCCATAAGGATTTTCAGTTCGATTAACGAAATCCTTATGACAAACACGTTTTGTTGTGCGCATCCGCTGATCGGCTAGTCCGCCAATACAGTAATCGGTTCTATGTTTACATTCGTTTCCAGTAGAGTAAATATCAAGGAGGTTGTGCTCTTTAATATTTTTGCATTTTTTATATTAAAATTATTAGTCATTTTAAAATTTATTAAACATATTGATAATATATGCAGTACAGGGAAGTAGTTTTTTGTGCGCCCATCAACCGCTTGACTTACCCGCCAAAGCGTCTCTGTTTAACTTTGTTTACAGTGGAGGAAACATCGTGTTCGTTGGTCTCTTGAATATTGAATACAGAGTATTTTTATGTTTTTACATTAAAATTATTGGTCATTCTGAAATTTAGTTAACATATTGATATATACAGTATAGTGCAGTGCAGTGTTGATTTACATAAAATAATCTTTAATTACAGCTGGTGAACTTAAAGTTTTATTGGTGAAATTACTGCATCAAGAATGGGTGAGAAAGATGATTCCCCTCAGTGTTCTTCTCCAAAAAGGAGAGGATTTTCATGTTAGAGAATCTGTCAGTCCAGAGGTTCCTGACATATTATGGAAGGTGACTCGCCTTCCAAGAAGCATTAAAATGCTTCTCTTCTCCCTTCTCCTCCAACCCCACTTCTAATTCCCATCATCATCATCAACCAGCAACATTCTACATACACACCCCAAAGTAAGTGTACTGTACTGCATTTTGTTTATACTTTGTATGTACTTTTCTGTGAGTTGGAACCAATTACCCAATATTCCAATTAAATAATAGATTCGGTTAACGAACGACTCTGTGGAACGAATTGTGTTCGTTAACCGAGGGATCACTGAATATGATTTTGTGAAACAGTTTTTAATGTGAGAATATTGCAGTGGTTTAAATGAAAAATGTAAACAAAATGTGGATAGGTTAGTGATATCGTATTAGAACATGGAGAATAAGCTCTCTTTCTCTCTCCCTGGGTATTATTGGTGAAGGACATGGTATTTTGTATCTCTAAAAACCCACAGGTTGTAAGGGTAATCCAGTGTTTTCTGGAAGTCATAAGAAATTGTAATCTATTTGTGAAACATATTTGTAAAGTAGAGAGAGAGCATATTGTTGGATTAAGATATAAGACTGATATTAATGTAAACTTTGTGGAAGCTATCAGCAAGTGTGAAGCCATTATGGTTTAATATACTTTTTATGTAAATGTTCTATTTCCCCATCCTGATTATATTTGTTACACCATAAGAGAAACTGTGACACACTGTACTACTGTACTCGGGTTCAATTCGTCGCATTCTGGGTTTCCTCTAAGTTTGATATCCTGTTGGTAAATTTGGAGGATTAACAAAGAGCCGGTTTCACTCAGTATGCTGGGGATGGGTATATAAATAAATAAACACTGGCATAGATATATAAAGACAATAATATATACAAATAGATATATAAATAAATAGATAGATACCCGGTAGACCAGTAGATACGTACAACAAATAAGAAACTGCAGTTGTATTTTCTATCTTTGGGAAAGATGGTAGATGAGGACAATAGCTGTCAATAGCTTGCATAACAAAATACAAATGATCTTACAGCCCAGCTTGTGACAACACCAAATGAACATTTCAAACTCCTATAATATTTGAAGGCACCAAAAAATTATCAACAAAACTATATAATATGAACCACACCTTACTAACAGAACTGAAAAAATATCTGGCTATCTACAGCACATACAAAAATATACGTAAAGCAACACACAAAAAAGATGCCAATTTAACAAAAGAAGGTCACCTGAATTTCCTTTAGCCTTGCTTGTGCTTCTGTTGGGTTGACCTCAGCAAGAGTTGTAGCACTTCTTAACTTATCCACATCCTCAAATGTCTTTGCACTATTGCATGGATAGCAGGAAAACACCTGTACATAAAAGAGATATTAATCATACCATAAACAAGACAGATATCAGTGACACAATTTCAGAATAATTTTCCTCATATTAAATTCATGAGGACTCTTATCACTAATATTTCCTTCATGTCATAAAAGTTCAAAGATCTGGCACTCGGCTAATACTGCATCCTCAATCACTCCACTCGACAGCATCAAAAATTTACAATCTATCGCTTTAAACCTTCAACACTAAACAAATTCTTCGCGCATTAATGAGGTTTTCCTTTCACTCTTGCTAAATCTTTTTCACTAAAGTACAGCTCCTCCACGACTTACGACCTGCCTCAGTTTTACCAAAGTTTTGTCAAATTACGTATTATCGAGTCCCAATGTCAGTAAACAGACAAAATTTTTGCTTGTAATTCACTTTAAAATGGCTGGCAAGCTTAAAAGTGGGAGTTTTGTGGTGCTGAGAAAAAAAAAAGAGACACCCATTTTAGATTTTCTATGTATTATTTAAGCATTTTCGACTTACGACCATTTCGACTTATGACCTGGATTTGGATCCCTAACCCCGTCGTAAGTCGGGGAGGAGCTGTACTCAATGGCATGAGATAAATAGACAACAAAGTACTGTATTCCATAACTAATTACCATTCAGGTATCTCTAATTTAAGAAACCACAGTATGAAACAAATATACCTGCAAGTGTAGAGAGAGTTAACGAGGGAAGTATTGCAGCTTATTCTGTGAGTACTCAGTAAAATCTTGGCTAAGTATGTGAAAAAAATATTGAAATTGATTTTACAAAGGGGACATGAAATTAGAAGAACAGAATGAGGAATGTAGGAGTCCGAGAGAATCAACTGTGGCACAAGTTTACTGTCAAGAAAAGGTTGGTGTGATGACAGGACATGACTCAACCAGGTGATAGTATGTGGCATGATCAACACCATCAGGTAAGCAACACAGAGAGAACAGTAATCTCTCAGGTGGACCAAAAATACAGGTAAAGTAAGTGTGTTTTACTATCAAACACAAGCATGAGACTGTGAGGTGAGTAACACGTGTTAAGTCTCAATGAATAACTACATGATTTAACTGGTCAACATTATAAAAATATTAGACTTGAGAGCATAAAAATAAAGTGTCTTACCTCCTCATAAATTAATGCGTTTTTGCTGGCAATTGACTGCCAGATGTCTATGAAGAATGTGTCTGAGATGGGGTCAGAGACATCAATGGAAGGCGTTTCACTGTCTACAACACCAAGATGTTCACTGAACAAATATTTCCTCATACTGCCAGCAAACATGCCAGCATCATAGTGGTTTCCGTTCATGACTCCGTCCTCAAACTCCTGATCCTACAACAAACATTACTCATCAGTATATATATCTTTCATATGACTGATGTGTAGCAGCAAATTTGTATCCCTAATATTGTAGCAGAGTTGAATCTTGAGTGTTTAGTAACAGGTAAAATACAGTAACCAGATACAAGAACAAGTAACATGTAAGACAACTACTGTACAGCATTATGCAGCCAAACACACAATATGCAATACAAAATGTGCATCAAATACCTTCAAAACTACAAAACCTTACTGTTCAGTTAAGAGGCTAAAGTTAAAGATCCACATTACTGTACTAGTACTTTTCCTTGTTTTGAGGTATCATTATTACCATCAAGTATTTCAAGACTTTTTGGCAGAGACTAAGAGCATCATCACACTCCCTATAATCAGCACCACAGGTTATTACACTTGATATACTGTATTACACTTTTCCCACTACAGTGCCCCCTGTACTGTACCGTACACTGCAGGTGGCTAGGACCAACACACTCCCTATAATCACAATCACTGATTCACTCTTATTATTCTTGGTCAATATACTGTATATATAATGGTAAAGCACAAATCATCTTTTTTTTTACGGGGATTAGCCCACCCGGGCACAGGTCACTGACCCACATCGGGACCTGGGGGGCGAAAATGTAGTAGTAGTAATAATAATAATGATGATAATAATAATAAATACAATTTATAATAAAAATTACAAAATTTAAAATAAAATAATAATTATAACAACAACACTGTAAAATACTACTACTAATAATAATAGTACAGGTTGTACCTCTCTAGTCTGGCATTCTGTGGTCCAGAAACTCCCGTGGTCAGGAACGATTTTAGTTTGCCCAATAGGTAGATAGACAGCTATTTTTTTTTTTTTTACTTATCTGAATTATAATTATTACTGGAGTATTATATTTTCGCCCCTCAGGCTCCAATGTGGGTCAGTGACCTGTGCCCGGGTGGGCTAATCCCAGTAAAAAACAACAACAACAAAGCCGCGGGAAATTAATGAACAGTAAATAAGTGTTGCCTTCATATTCTTATGTAGAGTAATGACGATATGTTTTCACATGTGCGCACTTACATACGCGATCTCACTTTTTATCTTTAGCAGTAATGGTTAGCTACTTATATTGTTCTATTTATTAACATTAAATAACATTACTTCAAACAACCATATTAATTTTTACATTAATTTTACTACAGCTACAACCAGGGTCTCATTTTCTTGTTTTATATGTAGAACCAATCAGTCACTGGTTTTGTAATCAAAGAAAACAATGCTGTCTCATTTCCTCGAGTGTTTTAATATTCTACGTTTTATTAATGAATTGTATTGCTCATTTTGCACACATAAACATTAATTCAATAAAAAAGACATTCAGTAATAAACAATAATGAATCTCTTGTACATAAGAGAAATGACGCTGTTTACACGATTGTGCACGCCTAAACATTGGCGGACCGCTCAAACCCGTCGAAATTTGAGTTTCCGCCGTCAAAATTTTAAATTATGTAGTTTTCTTTTTTGTATGTCCAAATAAAAAAACGTTGAATTAAAAACTCGCGAAATTTGAGAAGCTACTATACGACATTTAACCCTTCAATATGTCTTCAAAGAGACCACGAAGCAGTGAAAACAGTGCTAACGTAAGCGCAAGTCACTATCTGTCCAGGAAAAGGGTGAATTTCCATGGTCCGTGAGGTTTCCGGACTAGAGGCACAACCTGTAATAGATAACCGCAAAGAAATACTAAAATGAAAAAAAGATCAAAAGTGAGAAACAATATTACTGTATGTATGTTGTGTTGTCAATAGTAAGAGAAACAATTGAGACCCTGCAATTGTGTGTAAATGAGGCAGAAAGACAGTTCAGCAACCTGGGACTTGGTCACAATTTTCGTGATGCCATATGGCAGCAGGGTCTATCATAAAAAAATATTTTATGCTTTCAATATCTAACCAGGTGGTAGTAACTCCCTGTTTGGTAGCTGCCGACTACCTCAAGAGGAAGAAAGTTGAGAATTAACACAAAGTTGAAATTTTTGTTAACAATACAAACACAGTAGTGTAGAGACAACAAGAAAACTGCCAGAGTTTACAAAAAGCCAAGCAAAGTGCTGAAGCTTATTGGCTGTCACAACTAACTATGCATTACTGTAGCCTCTACTTATTCATAATTAAACACAGTAAGAAGAGATATAAAATCAGAACAAATCACAGAAATTTATCATCAGAACTTGAGAACAAAACCAACAAATCATTTTAAAATCTGATATAATGATCAAACAATGCCTAAAAAGAAGCCCACAACAATTCAACATGTCTAAGCTGGGTACAGTACTTTTGCTTATCCTGTTGACAACTTAGCTAGGATGGACAGATAGATGAGCAAGTGCCTCCCACAGACCCTGCACACAGTGGGGCATAAAAAGATTTAAAATACATTGTATATTAAGACCAGAAAGAATATGAAGAAAAATAAACTGAACTGCTTCAAATGAAATTTGAATAAATATGATTTCAATAATACAGTAAAAAAAGAAAAGAAAAAGACCCCTACTCTCATAACCATCATCAATGTTTTACAGCCATTTTCCAAGCTTGATGACAGCTCTCCATGGAGTGCTGTCTCTTGCAGCCTTTCTCACCAGGTTCTCAACTTTAAATGTTATTTCTTACATGTTATTGAGACATTAAATTTTTTTTACGATAAGCAATTCTAATTTACAAAACACTAACATCAAAACTTGTTGACACAAAAACATGGCTATTATACAGTGGTGTTCCGACTATTAGCTCATATAGTGAACATAAACAAATAAATAAGATTCAACATAATACTGAACTGAGAGGTCTCCACAGAGGACACAGGTTCTATGTAAAGTACAGTATGGTATCCAATCCTTCATCTCTCAAACAGTATATGTGAAAGTACAGTTCTTTACCTTAATGACGAGACACACTTCTGAATCCCTGTTTCCATTAAGACTGCGGTCGTTGATGTTCGCCGAACCAGCGATGACATATCGGTCGTCCACGATCATAAGCTTGGAGTGGATATATACAAGTTCAGACACTGGACGGTCTCCAAGGTTCTCGTGTGTACGCAAGGAACAGAAAGACACGTATCGCTGCCACTCTGTGACGCCACGTTCTTCCAGGCAATGAATCACACTTGATTTCCCGCTGTCAGGAGTACCATAGTAAATTATCCGTCATACAAGATGACCAAGACATTCAATAACATTAATAAATTTAAGTGTACAGTACTGTACTGTACTTGTGAACACCAAACTCGGTCAAAATTGCCATAACCACAACTTTGGTACCAGAACATGAAAATAATTTTGGGTGTTAGATTTCCTCAATAAAAGTAAGCTGTTTAATTACCTCAGTTCAAGTACAGGTTGACAACCCTTTATCCGAAATTCCGAACTCTGAAAACCGAAAGTTCTTTTGTGGAGGATTTTTTTTTTATTAAACAGGCCTTATCCCACCCAGGCATAGATCACTGACCCACATTGGGGCCTGGGGGTCGAAAATGTAATAGTAACACTAATTATAATAATAATAATAATAATTATTCATAGTAAATAAAATTTTTAATTAAAAAATACACCAAAATAAAATAATAATGATAATAATAATAACAATAATACTGTATTAATAAAATAATAATAATAATAATAATAATAATAATAATAAAGAAATACATGAATGAAAAAAAGATAAAAAGTGAGAAACACGACCAAGACCAATAAATTATTATTATTATTATTATTATTATTATTATTATTATTATTATTATAATAATTATTATTATATTTTCGCCCCCGAGGCCCCAATGTGGGTCAGTGACTTGTGCCCGGGTGGGCTAAAAAAATAAAAAAATAACCATTCTGAAAACCGAAAAATTCCGAAATCCGAAATGCCTCTGGCCCCAAGGATTTTGGATAAGGGATTGTCAACCTGTACAGGCATAACCCGATAACCGACGCATATAGGGACCATGTAAAGTCGTCGGTTAGTGAATCAACAGTTATCAAAGCAATTAATCCCATAAGAATATAACAAATTCAGGGGGTTAGGGACTGGCCACCCCCAAAAAACTCAACTCCCACCTACCCTTGATATATCTCTGTCGTGCACACTGCCATGCAAGAAAATAAAGCAGATATATAAAGCCAGAGTAATAAGCATTAAATAAGGAATGTAAAGCACGAAATTAGACTGTTATTTACCTGCATTGTGGATGGTAGAGACAGTCTAGGGTGGCAAGTTCAAGCCTCTACCAATCTTTGTTGGTCCATCACCACTCTCATATTACACCTTATCACATCACATCAAGCCAGCATAAGACAAACTATTACAGGGGCATTTAGGCATGTTTGCATAACACACAAATTCGGAAATAAAAAAAAAATACGAAGTCGGAGAATGGTAAGCGTAAACAAGAGTCAGAGGCAGTGCGCAGAACCCTCTCGTGGCAGGAATTTGCACCACTCCACCGCCCGCCAAATTCAAAACAGCTCTGATGCTCCTCTCTCGATCGAGGATCTCTGGGGTATCAAAAAAACTTGCGCGGTATTTCCCCTATATGTAATCATAGGTTATGCGATTTTTCGGTTATTGGGACGTCGGTTATCACGGTATACCTGTACAGTAATGTGTACCAGTGATGATGCCTTGTTCATATTTAAATAAAAGATTCGTTGAAAAAATGGTCTTCAATAAAATATATTTCCCTAAAACCACAAAGGAGAAATATATTATTGGTCTACCTAAATTGGGAAACATTTAACACAGTAAGTAATATATCAACTAACTCTCCCCACTTTAAGTTTGTTTAGCTACTGTTACAATCTATGAGACTAGAGGCTGGTTGTTAAGTAAGGTTGTAGGACAGGTCATCACCGGTTCAGTATAAACTTAACCATGGCTTCATCGCCTCAAAAATAAAGATATTTTCATGTATATTTAATCAATACAACATAGTGTTCAATACACCAGTGACTAGTTGTCCGGTAATGAAATGTCCGCCCACCATTACGTCACATCACCAAATTCAAGGTCATTTCTTTCTTTTCAACATCAAATAATACAGTATAACATGATGCTGAGCTGGGGTAAATGCTAAGGCAAAACTTGAATGTCATCACCTCACCGGCAAATGCTGACATAATTCCAGTACACAATGTATTGCATTGCAATGCCGCTGGACTTGCCAATCATCCCCTCAAAGGCCGGCAGGAGAGGCAGCATGATGTACACCCGGAACACTTCACCTTTTCTGTAAATGAACTTCACTTAACAACAGTAAAAATACTTCATGACACCTCAAGCTTACTAAGAAACAACTAACATAAGCCACAACTCAAAATTACTATATCACTTCTCTAAATGTAAACACAAGATCTACAAGATACAAAAATCCAGATAACTACAGGTACACTACACTACACTACACTATATACATAATTAGCCCAATACCACGAAGAATAATCTTACTTACTCGTGAGCCTGAACGATGCGATTCACAATTTCATGACCAATGCAGTTCATAACCTCCATATGTGCATTATCGTTGCTACAAGTAATGAAAAACTGGTTTTCAATGTATATGTAATGTTTGGCATTACTGATGAGATGAACATAAGCAGAAAAGATGCTGGATTCATCTTCATCGAGTCCTGCGCTCCATTTACCTACACTACGTACAACCTGAGGAAAGATAAGAGTAATATCTCCGTTAGCCGGAATCCCTCAAACCCAGAACTCTCCTACAGCCAAAATTGAAATTTTATAGGAAAATCGTCCCCAAAGCCAAAATTTTCCGGAAAATTCCAGCTTTAGGAATGATTTTCCGGAAAATTCAGAGAAAATACTCAATTATTAATTATCTACATATTTATCAACCAGTATGGTGATATAAAAGAGGTCAGGCTGAAGCAGAGGAGCAACAGCCCTTCACTTCAATGTGTACAGTATCATAATGCATCAAATATATCATCTCAAAGGAAATACAGGTAAACTAAATTCTCAGGTCGGAAGATCGGTAAAAATAGACAAATTATAAAAAAAATTACACTGTAGAGAGGTTCGCCTTACATATTTAGAGAAGTCGGTGTACTGAATAAGAATGAAATACCTAAAATTAATAGACCTTAATAAGCTGAGTTATTTATGATTGAAGATCAATCAGTAAATCTATATATAGTACTGTACAAGTAAGATGCTGGAAAAAATAACTTAAAAAATAAGGGTAAAGCAGCACACTGACACCTTCAGCTAATACTGAGGTGAGCTTATAACTCTCTTACCTGACATTTCACTTTGTGTTTAGGGTGAAGGTTAGAAGGCACAAAGTTCTTCTTGTCATATGACCTCGGCAATAGGTACGGGTAATTGGGATTCGGTTTAGCCTGGAACACAAAGGAAGAAACAGAACTGACCATAAAATATATACATGTAAATCCATACAAAATACAGGGTTACAAAAGTTCAAGTTACAGACCAACTTTCAGGAACGTGACCCTTCTGTAGCTTAAGAGACGCCTGTACTGTACCGTATAAACCATCACTTACGGTATGTGAGGAGGCAAACTTCTGTTAGCCGTCCAAGTCATCCACCAGTTAAGAGTTTGAACATAATCATCCTTCTCAGACAGTCTTGTGCTCTCAGGTTACACGTGAGTTCTACCCATATGGGAGGTATTCTATATAATACTTACAGAAGACTGAAGTAAAATAATAATATCTTGTTCATGAGTGCCTTATAACTGTTGGGTTGGCCTTGTATAAGTACTGTATGCAGTATTAAGAGAAAAGTTGTAAACAAGTTAAAAATGATAAGTGGGAAATATTATGAGTGATTATCGTTACTTACAGCTGCTCAAGATGTGAAGTTTTCTTCATCTTCTTTGATGATGCAGAGGGAATGAAGATCCTCTAACCCTCTCTCTCTCTCTGTCTTAAGCAGCATTTAAAGCAAAAATAGAATATTCAAAGCAGAGCAAAATTCAAACAAAGCAAAGCTGATCACCATTATGTCTCTCTTAAGAATAATTTGCAGAAGAAATATATATAAACTGTGTGCCTTACATTTATATAACAAACACCTACTGTAGAACATTGGTTTAAGGCTGACACTGGACACATTCTCCGACAAAAAACATCGGTAACAAGAGGAACAGATGACCTGTACATGTACCTACAGTGGCTATGATATAACCAGAGGCAGTACAGTATCAACATACACCACCAGGGAACTCTATTTGATATAATCACTAGTGGACAAATATCAAGAGTTAGGTTCAGGAAATTGGATAAATGAAGGTTAATCCATCTTTCTCTGCCTGTTTCACCATACCTTCTCAGTTTTTATGGCATTCCAGCGCTCAATGAAATGTCTTGCAGCATCACGAGCAGCTGGTCCCTCAACAAACAGACCAATGTCGTGCCATGGCATTCGTGGAGTTTGGTGGCGGTCTACACTATCTGAGAGAATTTAAGATTATTAAAATTTTGTGTTCATATTTCTCTCTATACATATACACTGAATACAAGATAAGGTCCCCCTTTGTACACTATAGTACAGAAAAACACACACAAGACAATGTCCCCTTGTAGATTCCACAGTCTCTTCACTTGAACCTTGCAACTGAGGCCTAGGATCAGTTTGTAGCAAGGCAGCTGATTGGCTGGCTGATGAACACCTGAAGAGTCACTACAATTCTTCAGTATTTAATCTACTGTATTTATATTCTGATATTTTAAGGGATAATAACTATTCTATGTTGATGTCTGATAATATTACAGCCTTAAATACTCACATCACAGTAATATGGTACAGTACAGTACTGAACCAATATTCAACCATAATCTTACCCTTGAAAGGCTCGTCCAAGTTATCTAGATCTTTACTGATCCAGTTGACGTAGTCCTTCCCAACCCAGAGGTGAGTAGAGGTGCTGTCCTCCATGGTGACCACATTGTGAGCCTGGGCCAGTGAGGAGCAGCTCTCCAGCCTGTTTCTGAAGTTCAGCTTGTGTTTGCGGCGCCTGTAGAACCTGATGTGGCACAAGGTTATGTGCCGGTCAATACACAACACTAAGAAACACATCATCATCATCAAGTGTGGATAATGACCATGTGAAGGGGTTAATAGTACACTACATACTATACTGTACTGTATTTCTATTTCCTGATGAAGCTTCTGAATATGAATTAACAATATCTCAAATTGTGTTTGAATATAAGAGTAACACTGACATTTACTATTAATAGAGTATAGGGTGGAGGATATGTGATCTCAAAAATATAAAGATACATACAGTACTTTAATTATAACATTATTCTACATTGTAACCTCTCCATTACTTAGAACTACTGTAGTAGAGTCAAAGACACCAACAGAGGAAGTACTGTAGAACAAACCTATTGCGCGAGATCTCCACGTTCTCTCTCTCATCAGAAGAGCTGTCTGAAATGTCAGAGTCCGAACTGTTTCTCCTGTGAATCAGAAGCGTGCAGAAAGATTCCACACTATTAGTATCTTCCATACATTCATATTTATTTCAAACGATCATGCAGGAGATAGATATTAAGTGAAGTGGTTCAGAACTCTAACACATACTGTACTCTTATGGATTATCTTAACGTGCATGAACTGTGTTAAGTCTATTTATTCTAACTATTTACTGAAGCTCATTACAGAAACTTCCCTCACAATAAAATTCCTTTAATAAACACTTAGCAGCTTCATGCAAGTTCACATTACAACGCCTTACACAGTGACAGTCTCATATACTAATGTTATGCTAAATATGTAAACTAACCAAGTGTAACACATCAACACTCTAAGCAAGTATTAACACAAAACACATCAACTGGTTAGCTTATGGGTGTGTGGATGCAACTTCAAGTGTCAACTATCTTTTATTTGAGAGCTAAGTTATGTATCCGATCATCATCAGTTAGACCATATTGTAGGACTCTGGATCATGGTTTAGGTAAGGAACTTGCACAAATTTTTTAAAGTTTTATGAAGTATGGCAGGTTAAGGGAAGTGAACTACTAAAACCAAAAAAGAAAAGTTAGCAAATTATTGTATTGAATCTAACTTACCGGTGTAACTGTGGGAGCTTATGGGCAGTCCAAGCCCGCACCTCTCGACCCTTCTCCTTTACCTCCTCCACCAGATCCATGCCCAGCCTCTTCACGTCCCTGATGCTCTTCCCCACCTTCCCTTCACGGTACTCGTCATCGCTGCTCACTTCGCCGGCGTTGGAACTTTCTTTTACCAATTTTGGGTCACGCTTAAAGAATCTGGTCCTGGCATGTGACCTCTTGGAGCAAGGTTGTAATGCTATTGTTTCAACAACCGAGGAAACTTGGACACTGTCTCCATTCTTTATGTTACTATCTGGATATTTGGCTTTAGTTTCATCGATGTTGAGTTTTGTTTCTCCTATCTCCCTGTGATCTACAGTGTCATCACCGGGGTCACACACCAATGGAGGATTTTCAACAATGTCTCTCTTGCGGGTTTCATCTCGTCTGGGAGGCGACTCTAACTCGTTTGGGTTTAAGTGAAGCGAACTAATGTCAGTACTGAACGTTGTGTCGGCGCACGTGGAGGCATCAAGGGAAGTTCTTCTGCTGCTGGGTGTAGACTGTGTCATTGTGTTCACCAGCACCTCATTTGTTCCCCGTACCAGATGCTGCAGCGCCCCCCCCAGGAACCCTTGAGGACTTTGAGACACATGTACCCCACCATGGCCAGTGTCTTCAAGCCTGTGAAGAGATGTTCAATCATAAATCATATACAACAGTGGTTGGTATAAGAAGAGGGTGCAGCTTTATACCAAGTACTGTATGTCTCTTAAACACCACAGTCAGTATCTGAGAAACATCCACATGGTAATATACTATATGATAACCCCTCAAGTAAGTTTCTTTAGTCTCACCTAAATCTTAAACAATGACCATCCTAAGAAATTGGTTATTTAGGCCAGTGATTCTCAAACTGGGGTCCACAAAAAGTTTTGAGAAATAGTGTGTTTATCGTTTAAGAGAGATTTGCCGATTCCAATTCGCAGGATATTTTGGTTTTGGGTTGAAATGAACAAATGCTTTGGACTATGATTTATTCTTTGATTATTGACAATATTTATATAAGGGGTCCTTGGTTGAAAAAAGTTTGAGAACCCCTGGTTTAGGCTACTTAGTTCTTCACTATACACACACTAACCCTCCCTATCCATATCTTCATATTTTGTAATCTTGGTGCATTTGTTCCTCCACTTCTAGCTTGGGATGGATTAAAGATAACATGTAATTAACTGAACAAGTCTCTTCAATAGTTTTTCTTGAAGGGTTGAACATGATGCAAGTCACACATGTGTAAGGTTATGGCTCAATATAACTGTAACCCATCTGAAAAACTTACAAGCTCCCCAAGTGGATAAACAAGTGCTAAAAACTCATGGAAATTATCTAAGTTATTCTTCATATACTGAAGAAAACTAACAGCCCAGAGCATCATAAAACACTTTAAGAAAACTATCCAGTGATCATACTTGTGTCTGTAATCATCCCATCGTCCAAAAGCCAGGTCAATGCCACTGACGAAAGCATACATCTGGTCGATGATAACCAACTTCTCATGGTGAGCCCAGTACAACACTCCTCCGGCCATGTGGTCAGGGTGACGCAGTACCTGTGTCACATAACAAAAATTTACTAATAATCTATTCTGTTTATATTCAAAGTAATAAAAAGAATAACAGATTCTTTTACACTAATATAAAATGCTAAATACATCCTACTTCATATCATTGGGAAACAGTTTATGAGAAATGTCGGCATGAAGTTAGTTTACTTACAAGAGAGTTTCCTATATCTAAATAATTGCACACTAGACTTGCACCTTCCTAACCAATGTTCCTCTAATTAGTAGTGCAATGTATATGTAGTTTTACCCTGTTGTGTACAGCAGTCCTTTGAACTGTCATAGTTCTTACACTCACAACTTGAACAATCATGAAACATTAATTTAGACCACAGACTCAATATCCACCAGCTGGCCTCCCTAAGTTTTGACCCAAGGCAGGAGTGTTTAGAAGAAATGTTTGCACCACTTGCCCCAAGCTGCCGGGTGTGTCATGACCAGCCACACCCTGGTAACTTCTACTTTTTACAGTTTATAACAAGAGGGAGTCACCATCTTCCAAGAGTAGTGACATGGTCTCCCACACAGCTTCTCTGCATTTCACCACAAAATATTAACCTTGTCTTTCAATAAATCATCTCCTTGTAGCCTGAAATGTAAAGTTGTTGATCAGAAAGCTCAATTGGAAAGTGTTGGCAGAAGAATCCCTCCCTTAGGACCCAGATACAGATAAAATCACTGGCTCCCCTGACCAAGAATGTTACAGTATTACATGTCACCTTACCTTTGTGAACTGATTGACCCTCAAAATTAGTCTCCCTCTAAAAAGCACAAGTGACTCAGTACCTTGATGTTTGGGTGAAGTTGGTTAACAGTCTGCTTGGAGTGGAGTGAACTAATGCCAAGAGCCAGCTCGACCTCCTTGTACAGCAGGATGAACACTCGCACCCCACTTTCAGCTTTTCTTTTCAGGACTTCTTCCAACCTGAAACCACCAATTCATTACCTATTGTTACGAGTGTCCACCATAAGTGTCTGTTCTTGGTATGAAATATGTTGGTTTGGATGGTGTGTGGTTGGCTCGAGCAGTTTCGCTCATTACTCGCCCACACTGACTGAGTCATCATTTAAGTATTAAATCTGTTTATTACATTGTGTATTGTACTGTATTATGTTTGATTGTATTATGTATGATTGTATTAAGTTTGTAAATAGGTTACATAAGTGGAATTAATGTCAGTAGGGGAATTTATGTAAAGTTTATGTTTTGGCCAATCAGGATATGATATGTCGCTATTTGGCGTTAGAGAGGTGACCGGCTGGTAGTTGGTTGTCAGTCTAGGCACAGCTGTCTGGTGACCGGCTGGTAGTCAGTAGTCAGTCTAGGCACAGCTGTCTGGTGACCGGCTGGTAGTCGGTAGTCAGTCCAGGCACAGCTGTCTGGTGACTGGCTGGTAGTCGGTAGTCAGTCTAGGCACAGGTGCCTTAAGTTAAGTAGTATACCCTCTCTCTGGTGTTTTGGGAGTTGGCATTTGACTATTGAGTTTTGTTATTGCTTCAGTCCTTACTCAGCCACTTCCAAACATCTTGTCGTATCATTATTGTTATTTATCTTATGTTAAGTAAATAGGCGCTGGTGGGAGAACCTGGGATTAAGAATATAATAAATACTGGGCTTTCAATAGTCTTTATTACCCAGCATTCTTATCCATTTAAAACTGCCACAGATACCAGATAAAAGGTGTCTCCTGTTTACTATCAAGTATTTATTCTGATGAAAGATGTTTTAGGTCCTGCTATAATTATACCAACTAAAAATCAACCTATCATGTTGTATGTCTTGACAGTAACTTATTATGACATGAACCTGTACTCTTATGTCCACTCAACATGATGATATAGATTCATATATTTGTGACATGTTGTAGTACAGTGCGTCCATCAAATACTGTAGCGACAAATATCAACAATGTACGTCATTAATGTTGCAAAGTCTGGTACATATTGTTCTGCAAGTTTGCTCATTGCATTACTGGAATGATGAAGCACATTTTTTAAAAATTCTGAGTGAGTTTATAAGCTTCAGTTTACATTCACCAACAAGGTAAATGAAAACAGTGGTTGTAACACACATTCCAGCTTCACTAACCTCCACTTGCATCCAGTGATGTCCGGCCGCTTCAGGTAAATTTGTGGGCTCATCCACCAATCGGTGATGAATATCTCTTCTTTTGCGGCCTCCAGCATGTCGGCCACATCCCACATGTATCGTGCACCGTCCACGTACCTAACACACACACAACACCTAAATTAATACTCATGAAAGACATTACATTTGTGTCACTGTACCCCCCAAAATTATTTTTCTCATATCTTCATCCTAAAGCAGTAAATTTACTCTCCAGTTACAAAAGACTCATTATAAATATTAATAATAACAAACTAGACAAAAACCATCACCCTAAAAGCCTGTAGGACTTCTTGGTGAAGTCTCTTGGTACTGTAAGTCTTATCTACTGTACTGTACAATATTAGTCATCCTACACAAGCAATAGACCCAGGAAGGTTCTCTCAGTATAAATCCGGGGTCAAAAGTTCACTCCCTCCCACAGTGAAGCAGTATCGACCCCAAATGAGATAAAACACCACACCCACACCTGATGACAGTCAGGGTTCAGAGACCCATTCCCTGATTCAGTTTCACAGCGGGAAGTAAACTTTTGTCCCCGACTGTACCTCAAGTCACCTCACATACTCACTCACCAGCGGGCATATGATCGATCACGGACTGGAGCAAAGGATCCATAGCGATTCCCTTGGTTGGTAAAGTCTTTGGCTGTATGAAAAAGATGCGTACTCTAGGTTAATATTGTAAGGAATTTTAATAGTGAACAATAACAATTATACCTGAGAAGGGTCAAGTCATCTCTCCTTTGATGAGGATAAATGAAAGAAAAACAGACACATTTCTCCTTAAGAACACAAGTCCAATCAAGACAAGACAGGACAGATGATTCTAACAGGGAGGAAGGACTGTTGTCAAGGTAACAAACATCAGTGACTAGTAGTGAACATGACTTAGTGGTGGAAGGGGAGGGTCAAGGCTCAGGTAAATCCATGATCTAGAATGCATATATGAGATAGGAGCAAAGGGCACATTTTTAACCACTCAAATTGGCATCTTTAACCTGTTTGGGTACAACTGGCATTTAAGGCAACAGTGAGGGAGAATAAGGACCAGCAGTGAGGGAGAATAAGGACCAACAGTGAGGGAGAATAAGGACCAGCAGTGAGGGAGAATAAGGACCAGCAGTGAGGGAGAATAAGGACCAGCAGTGAGGGAGAATAAGGACCAGCAGTGAGGGCGAATAAAGACCAGCTTTTAGAAAAATTTTCTGAGGGGCAAATTTTCCGGTTACCCAGAAAATTATGGGGATGAGGGATATTTTTCCAGGTTTGAGAGATGATGTAATGGGTAATTTCTGGAACTTCCGAGATAATTTTTCCGTTACCCGAAAAATTCCAGGGATGAGAGATTTTTTACCGGCTTTGAGAGAGTCGTCTCGTTACCGAGAAATCTCTCATTCCCGGAAGTGCTCTGCACCAATTGTTCCGGCTAACGGGGATATCACTGCATTACTCATAGGTCTGTAGTCATTACACATCCCTTTTCCCCTCAGCACTAACTAGCAAAATACATTAAGGTGTTTTTCCTCGTCTTTATCGACCACTATCATTATTCACTACAGGTATAAGCCAACTGTTGATATTTCTTTAACTATTATCAATCACCCTATTCAAGTTCCTATAGTTAATCCAGCATTATATACAACAGTGTCTCATATACAGTCTGACTTAATTATTGTATGCTCATGTAGTTAATGCTCAGTCAGTTGTTATATACAGTAGTTATTTCTATTTTAATTCAATCAGTTGCAACACATAGGAAAAGTAAGTGTAAGTGTGTGTGTGTGTGTGTGTGTGTGTGTGTGTGTGTGTGTGTGTGTGTGTGTGTTTCCCCCAATATAATATCCTCTTCATCTCAAAGTTTCAGTTCACTTCAGTTCAGTTATATTCAGTAAAATTGACATGCAAATTTACAATGATTCAGCATGTGTATAGATAATGTATGTACAGGTATACAATTCAACATCTGTATAGGCAATGGAAGCACACAATATTACATACCTCGACAGTGCATGTATAACAAACATACTTTAAAAACAGAATTAACGTACACAAGCCAAAATCATTCGTAAAACTTACAGAAACATAAAACATGGAAACACTCACCATATTTATTTTGTGTGCTGGTGATAACCGAGCACCATTCCTTCTTGCTGGACTCAGAGTCACACTTTATCACCAGAGATCTGAAGGAACATTACAACATCACAACACTTTATCATGAAGGGAAGAGGTTATAATCTGATCAATGCTTAATAAGAAAAGCACCTGTACACCAGCAGAGACAACTCACCTGGAGTGATTAGATATACGGAGGTTACGAGCCCCAGTGAGCCTGTTGTTATAGGCCACTTGGAACCCGGAGTCCATGAGCATGACGGTACGCACTTGACCCGTCTCTGGGGACAAGAAGAAGAGGCAGGTCTCCTTCAGCACCAGCCACCGTTGTTTGTACTTCCTTGTGCAGGGAGCAAAACACCTGGAGGGGCCACATAGAATAGTGTACAAGGTGTTTAATAATTATCTGATCAACTTTAGAAATTGCTAACCTCAAAATTTTTCGAGTAATAAACAATAGCACATGTTGAGGTCTACTACTAAAACAAAATCCTGAGGAGAGCAAAAACTATTTCATTTGTAGAGACATTTTGGGACAGAATAGGATACAGTATCTCTATATTTATATTAGATTAAGGGTCTAATGCTACACAGGATGTTGAGTTATGTCATTATCAAGTTATTAGATTATTACTCTCAACAGCTTTACTTTATAAATGACATTCACTCAGCAGCAATTCCCTCACCAGGTACAGCAGCCATTATCACTGTTGCTCCCAGTCCTCTTCTTCACATAGCCTTCCTTAATCTTGGTTCCCAGTCCACTGACAAATGACACAGAGGACACCTGGAACATGAACACTTTATACAATACACTAATATCTCACTCAGAGCTCAGGGTGTATTCTTGACAGTAAACACAGAAACTGATGGCTATGAATTTTTGTTTGGTTGGTGACAGTTTTAGACACGTTACTGACACAATTTTTTCTTATACAAAATATCAAATGTCTTCAAGGATTTTCTTTATATCTTTTGTTTTTAGCTCTCATGATTCATTGTTATTAGAAGCAACACTATGAAAGTTATGACTGTATATATAAGAATAACTGGTTTAGGCAATAATAATAAAACTCAAATACCTTGAGGTCATAAATGTAACTCAACTTTTGTTATCAACTACACAGAGTTCCTGTCATCAAACACAACACAGTAACTAACTACATTAAGTACCTCAAAGAACTCGAGGACAGCCTGATGACTACGGAAGAGCGAGTGATGGAGGAGATTCTTGAGGTAGATTTCCAGGTCTGCTCGGACAGATTCATCCATTGTCTGCAAGGCTCGTCGAGGAAACCTGAGCCAAGCACAGGGTAAATTAGTTAACACCAACAAATGCCTACTATTTCTTAACTCATCAAATACAATATTATCTGGTTAGTTGAGACTTCACTATGGATATATACACAAGACTGAAAAGAAGAATGTAAAGCCAATGTAAGTGAAAGACAGACAATGTTCACTCAGCCTTCACTCTCTGTAAGCCATCTGCTATACGGTAGTGCTGGGTAGGTGGAAGCTTGATGACGGACAGACAGACAGACGGACGGACACACTCACACACACCTCTGAATATCATCATTTTTACTCATCTTTCTCTTCCCATTCTCTCAATATGTCTATACGTACCACCTTCATATAAAAAAAACTCATCAGGAAGTATTCAAACAGTTTCAAAATAAAATTGCAAGATTTTAAAATATACAATTAAGGATAAATTATAAGACAAGCTAATGTTCTCGTCACGTACTTGAGAAGTCTTTTGTTAGGCAATGGATTGACACCATCAGTTGAGTCCACATTTCTATCCGCCTGCTTGATCTGTTGCCTCATGCTCTGCCTTCGTAGCCTTGTTCCTCTTGTTGCTGCGGGCATTTTCAGCCTCGTTCTGTAGTTATTACCGAGATAATTATTATTTCATTACAATTAAATGGTATAAATGTACAGCACAAATACTCCACACACAATTTTAATGATAACTTATACTGTACTTTCTGATACAGTGAAACCTCTACTTAATGAACTACAGGAAGAGTAAAGTTTGTTTTGTCGAGGGTCCATTTTAGATGTGAAATCCCCATCTAATGCACTATATAGAGATGGAAGTCCATTATATCAAAGGTCCATTAGATGTGAAACCCCCCATCTAACAGATTATATGGAGAAAGAAGTCCATTCTATGGAGGTTTCACTGTAGTAAACCAAAGTGTAGGAGGAAATTGATGCTAAGCCAAACCAGATGGCACAAGATGACAACTTAAGTGTTATAAGAAAAATCACAATTGACTCACAAAACCAACACTTAAAAATAAACGCTAAACAGGAATTCACTCTGACAGATGATGCATCAAAAGGGAACCGGCACAATATTGTAAAGCTTTGACAGATATAATTAAAGGTTAAGAACATGATGGAGAGACTCACCTAAGGAGCATCAATACACTGTGCAGGGAGGTCACCTGTCTCACCTTCTTCCTGACGGTCCATTTGTAGTCACCGTGCTCTAGACTGACCACCAGCCTGCGGGAGACAATGACACCTATGTAACGGGCGGAGGGAATATTTCCACGTGTGATGATTAACACAAAATACTATGAAAAGAGGGAATAGAATAGGTTAGGTTGGGTAGGGTTGGGTAGGGTTGGGTTAGGTTTGGTTAGCATTGCAGTGGTTAATCTTTAGGTGAAACAAGCTGGGGTGGATATTCTTCAGGTGATCTGAGACAGTTTGGCTTGGGGTCATACAATAATAACTCACATATGTCTATTGAAGATATGTATATGAGTATGAACAGCCTCCACCTTGGTGATCTTTAGCTGCACAGAGTGTTGGGGGACAAACACATCGGGCATCAACTCGGAGAACTTTACTATCTGGTACAACCTGATGTAAGGCAGTGAACCGTTACCTGGAACGCAACAAACACAGAAAGATCAACGAGATTCACACACTATTCTTATTGCTAGCCCTTCCCTACACAGTACAGGGTGACCCATCATCCTTAATTAACCAATCATTCAACTCATCAATCAATAGGTTAAGTTATGTTTGTGAAATGACTCCCAATTCTAAAAAACAATTCACATACTGACACCCAACTCTTAAATAAAAGCCAAGTAATAATCTCAACCCACAAACTTACTATCATTATTATCTGGCAAAGGGTCTGGTGTGTAGTCCAGGTACCCTAGTATGTCCCGATCAGAGTCCGGGGAACCTAAAACAGGGCTCTGGGCTATGGCGGTGATCTTCAGGGAGGGACGATTCTGTAAACATGCGGAACAGAGAGATTAAATTTTGGCGAGTAGTTCCGAATATGTCAGATGGTATATTTTCTTACCAATTTAAATGATACTGAACACCGATCTGATATAGTGGGTGTACACGAGCATTTATATGTACAATAATGAACAGTGATCTGGCATAGTGTGTATACAAAAGCATTATTATTTGTTTTATAAGCATAGAAGTGATAATCCACACCAATTTCTCAATACTTTACAAGTTACATCACTAAAACTTTCACTCCCCACAAAAAACTTTCTATAACTTACTGCAGTAATTGACCAAATAAAATAATGCACAACAACATCAAGAGACATTTTAGACCAAAGACTAATTAAAACACATAAATTACCCAAATATAATCACAAGTACAAAGGCAATTTTATTTAATTATGTAATATAGGTCCACATCAACTAAATTTCTTAACAAACAAGTTTATATAATGAAATAACAACAATAAAAATAATAATAAGCCATTCAAAATAACTACAAAGTCAAAACACACACTCGAGGTATGATATTTCTTCACACTGGTTCTGTCCCGTTCCTCACGTCACAAGACAACCCAACATAAAAAACATACCCCTGGACAGGTTCCATTACACACTAAACATGACATGGGTGGCCACATCCTTGGGTCTGGTGGTAGTACAGTTGAGTAAAGTGACAAAATCTGTAAAGGTGTACCTGTACCTGTTTTCTTTTCTCCTTAGTGTTAGAGTGGAGGCTTGCTTTAACACTGAAGTCGGTGTCATCAGTGGGAGATAATGGCAGATCTACAATAAATGAAAGATCATGGAGTAGTTTCTTTTGTATATCTCACTTAGAGGCTATTGGCTAATTCCTCTGTATATCTGATTTACTGGTTAATTCTTTTGTACATCTGACTTTGAGGCTATTGGTTAATTTTTCTGTATATCTGACATACTGGTTAATCCCCGTATACCTGAGGTACAATATTGGTTAATCTCTGAATATCTATTTTACTGGTTAGTTCTTTTGTACATCTGACTTAGGCTACTGGGTTAGTCTTTTGTACTGTATATACAATATATTTTTTACTATCACTTCTCACTTTCATCCAGACTCTCTCTCTCTCTCTCTCTCTCTCAGTATTCAAGAGTCAATAGTCCACGACAGCTCCTACTTACTTCTTATACAGTATAGCCCATAAGAACACCAAACATGGTGATTATTAACTAAAGCTTATACCTGCACCATGCTTCTCACCTGTTGGGAGTATCAGCATCTACCTTACAAGAGTCATTCCTACAATGCCACACCAACATGCTTACCTAACTATAATTGTCCTCACAACTACGCTCTCTCCATTTTTGACATCCTTGATAGTTTGTGGATGCTGTTCAATTGCTTGTTGTTAAGTAAGTCACTCTGTTATATCGGTAAATTAACAGATTTGTTTCTAAATTCCAAATTATTATATTTTTTTAGCCATAAACAATGTCGCTAGTGGCAAAAAAAACAACCACATTAAACATTGACAAGGAAAAATGGTCGGGAATTTGACAATGTAGTGACAGCAACAAACTGTAATGGTTTCTAAAAGCAAATTCTATATGCATGACAGTCCATTAGGGACAGTGTGCATACAGCACAATACTGTACTATACAGTAAGAGTTCAGTACAATGTATCCAACACTGTGCTTCACCACCTTCTCTTCCCAACCATAAAGTTACAGCTGAGTGGACTGGTGGGACCCTGGAATCAAACCAGCAACTCTTAGGCCAGGTAGTATGTGCCGTATTCACACAGCCGCTACATATCAATTACGTCTAAGGTCAAAAGTGGGTGGAGCTTAGTTATCAAGTCAATATTCAAAATATTTCACTGATAATGAATGACTTGACATGGTTTTTGTTTGTCAATACTGTATTCTGTAACCTAAAACATGCCAAAACCAACACATAGCCTTAAGAATAAATAAAATCCCAGCATAAACAAATACCGAGGAACTAACCTGTTGGTTGAGGAGTCGTGCTACGTCTGGCTGCCTCACCGATCTCGGCATTTGAGTTCGACTGAGATGAAGACTTCCTGGTTTCTGGAAAAATAACGAAAAGTGTGACAACCTTAGATCATAAACACACACGCAAGCATAAAAAACCCACAAGTGTCTTCCAGAGCAAAATATATCTTTTTAACTATTAACTACACCCATAAATACAGCTGAAAATGTGGGTATGTCGAGTACAGTATTGGCAAGCTGAAGAGGAGTGGGGGAGGCATCATCACTACACAAAAACCTGAGAAAGGTAATCAGATTCCCTCAATGATAAACTACACACCCATCTAGAAATTAAACTACAGCTAACTTCCAATGATGGCCTCCATCTCTACAACTACCTACCACTGATGATGCCTGCTGTTTAAGGGTTCATATATAACACCACATGATCCCTCACCTCCATGGTTGTCAAGTTGGTCCTCGTCATCAGACTGCAGCTGTGGGGTGTCCTCAGGGAACTGGTAGTGAGTTCCTCCATAGTCACGGGGGGAGTCAGCGCCTTCCTCACAAGCAGCTAGTGGTTCCATCTCCCGCCGCACATCCCTCCTGCTAAGCTGAAGGGTATGGCAAGTAACAGTTAGATGATCTTGTGACAGTACTGCACTGTGATACAGTTAACTTGTTTGCAATTTTAGTGATTTCCTTGCACTGTATACATATATTTCTCTGTAGATGATAATGATTTTATTACAGTATGCTGTACAGTGATCCCTCGATTAACGAGCGCCTCGGTTAACGAATTACCTTCCATAAGCTTCTTCACTTCGGTTAAGGAGCAATCCCTCGATTAACGAATTCCTTACAAGCGCCCCTCAACATGTTTTCGCTTGCTCACTAGCTGTCGTATTAGTCCGCCAATACAGAAATTGGTTCTAGGGCTTAAATTCCTTACTATTTTAGTAAATATCAAGAAGATTGTACTATTCAATAATTTTAAAAGTCTTATATTAAAATTTTTAGTCATTTTAACAATTATTTAACATAAATGAAGTACAGGGAAACTAGTTTTTAGCGCGCCAAACAGCCCCTCAACACACCAAACAGGCGTCAGTCTTTTCAGTGGAGGTAACATCTTGCTTCAGACTTTCTTCAACATAAACTATTTTTTTCCGTTTTTACAGTGAAATTATTGGTCATTTTGAAATTTATTTTATATGTTGATGATATATAGCGCAGTGCAGTGTTGATTTAAAGAAAATATTCTTTATTTACAGCAATTAAACTTAAAATTTTAGTGATGAAATTGTTATCGAATCCAGCATGAGTCCAAAGAAATCTAGAAAAGTGATTTCAATCCAGGTGAAACAGGTAATTATTAAGAAACATGAAGAAGGCATTAGAACAAATGTGCTTAGCAAAGAATATGGCATGTCGACATCAGCTGTGTCGACAATTCTTTCACAGAAAGACAAATTCAAGGAAGTGAAAGTGAGAGACAAATCTACCAGAGTGTTTAAAGGTAGATCCCTAATAGCAGAAACAGAGAGGTTACTTCTCATTTGGATTAGGGAAAAACAGATGAAAGGTGATTCAGATTCGACCGAATTTATTTGTGAAAGAGCCAGGGAGATTTACGAACATTCAAAGACAAATCAACCTGGTTCTTCAGGCACAGAATTTGAAGAGTTTAGGGCCAGCAAAGGCTGGTTCGAAAAATTTAAGAAAAGAAGTGACATTTTTAGTGCTGTTAGGCATGGTGAGGATGCCAGTGCTGATAAGGAAGGGGCAGCAAAATTTTTAGTGGAATTTAAAGAACTAGTGGAAAAAGAAAATTATCTTCCACAGCAAGTGTTCAATGTGGACGAAACTGGGCTGTTCTGGAAAAAGATGCCCAAAAGGACATTCATAACCAGAGATGAAGCCTCTTTACCTGGGCATAAACCCATGAAAGACTGTCTCACTCTATTGCTTGGTACCAATGCTTCAGGGGATTTCCGACTGAAGCCTATGCTTGTCTACCACTCTGAAAACCCCAGGGTGTTCAAGCAACAAAAAGTGGTAAGAGGACGGCTTGGAGTTTATTGGAAGTCCAACCGTAAGGCATGGGTGACAAGACAGCTCTTTAATGAATGGGCAGTTGAGGTGTTTTGCCCTTCTGTGAAGAGCTACCTAACCACCAATAAACTCCCTTTAAAGGCTCTTCTCCTCATGGATAATGCCCCTGGTCATGACCCTGAACTTGCCAGCACTTTGGAGTCTCAATTTGACTTTGTCAAAGTGTTGTTTTTGCCTCCCAACACTACATCAATCTTACAGCCAATGGACCAGAATGTGATCAGCAACTTTAAGAAGTTGTACATGAAGAAAATGTTCAGGAGGTGTCATCAGGCAACTTCCACTGATCCTGAACTAACACTGGCACACTTCTGGAAGACACAATTTAACATCCTGGAGGCTGTAAAATTGATTGTGTCCTCATGGCAAGAAGTCTCCACTAGATCCCATAATTAATATACTAAGTCTATTAATACAGTAACAATACATTTATCTACGACTGTGTATTTCATTAAGACTGAAATAAAAAACTCTGGGCAAGACAGTGATCCACAGGAAGGTTAGGTCGTGGGCGCCTTCTTTTAAAATCTTGGTGTGGTAGTTTAGTTACCCGGACTGTATAGTATAGTACAGTATCTCCCTCAACACTTATCTTCTTCACTGTCTTATCTGTGTGTGTGTGTCCATGCATATATATGTACTGTACCTGTGTGCATCTGTTTGTGTGTATGTGTTTATCTGCATGCGTGTGTGAATGTGCATATTTATGCTGCATCTGTGTGTTCAAGTGTACAATATCTGTTTGTATGAGTGTGTGTGCATATGCACATTTGTACTGTATCTGTGTGTTGTGTGTGTGTGTTTAACTGTATGTGTGTGTGTGTGTGTGTGTAAACATACTCAATACCATAACCCTATAATTTGCCAAACAATTCCATAAATTTGTCTCATAATTCACCGTACACTACAACCCCACAATGACAAGACCTGACCTAACCTAACCTCAGCCAACCCCACAATGACAAGACCTGACCTAACCTAACCTCAGCCAACCCCACAATCACTAGACACACCCGACCAGCATCACCGATTCAACCAAGCTAAAGCAGATCTTCAACATCGTGTTGAGTCATGAAGGCTATCGGAGAGACCCGTTGACAACCTAATGAATGTAATCTTATCAGTGGTAAATGACAGTGACTGTGACAATACGTTGGTGGGGTAGGGTGAGGGGTGGTGTCTTTACATTAACTGCAACTGTTGGGTGCATGGCAGAACCTCTTGGCCTGATATTAGCTTTTTATTCCTCCCTTTATCAGATTATCCTCAATCTTTTTTTTTCATTCAGATTAACTGTTTCTTCTCCTCACTCTCAGAATTAGTTGTTACAAGGGGATTTCCTTTACATAATTCTTCTGTCTTTATGTTTCTCATTTTCTCTTTGTAATTCTGTGTGCTCTCTTTCTGATGCATTCTCACTCTCTCACTCTCTTAGCAAAGTACAGTATACTGTACTCTCTCTCAAATGCATTCTCACTTTCTTAGAATGTATTTCTCATTTTCTCTCTCACTCTTTCTCTTCAAACATAGATATAAGGAGCCTTTGTCAGTCATCCCTTGTCGAATTGCCTTACCCGGTACTGTTCACCATTGTTTGCATACCTGCACTGATTATATATAGTACATTGTTTGTATATCTGAATGTTCTATGTACACTGTATATTACCTGCACTGCCTAAACAATTACCGGAGCAAGTGCAAACGTGTATGATGATTCTACTGGACACTTCTCTATCTATTTACTGTACAGTCAGTCCTTGACTTACGAACGGGGTTAGGGACCGACAACCAGGTTGTAAGTCGAATTGGTCGTAAGTCAAATATGGGCGTCTCTTTTTCTTCTCAGCACCACGAGAACTCTCACTTTTACGCTTGCCAGCCATTTTAAAGGGAATTACAAACAAAAATTTTGTCAGTACACAGCGCGATCACTAACGCCGGGACTCGAAAAAACGTAATTTTAAAAATATTTTATACGACTGCGGCGGTCGTAAGTCGAGTGGGTTGTAAGTCGAGTGGGTCGTAAGTCGAGTGGGTCGTAAGTCGAGGAGAACCTACTTACCTAACACAGTGAGTGCCAAACCCTTGTGCCTATACTGATGCACACAGATGAATAATGCATTTTTATTCAATTCCAACACTTATCAGGTTACTCCAGTATACTGTACTAGTCATTGGGGCAGCAGGTCTGTTCCTTGTTGCCGCCCAGAGTCCCCAACTTTGTTTTTACTCCTCATTATGTATTTAAGCCTTTCCTACCTCTCTAATATTCTTATACTATTCTGTAATTGATATCATCCCTTTTTCTCTATTTGATAAGTTTCTTTTGGGATATAAATGACATAGACCTGTATTGTATGATATCAATAAGCTATGAGTTTAATACTGCTTGCATTTATGGCACGCATACCTATGCAAATATTGCTTTTAATAAACACGATTTATGAGCATGTGTGTTAAGGTATTTCAGTATATTCTAGAGTAATTACATTCTGCCACAGTATATAAATTATTCTTTCTGTGCACATGGCAACCAGAAATGGCAGTCTCTATCCACCTGCACATAACTATCTGAGCAGCTGTGAGCTGGCCAATGGCTAAACACAATTTGCCTAATACCAACACATTCTCAATATTGAAAAGAACACAAGCATAGCCTTACAATAATAATACTATAACTTCATATGCAGTAGATGCTTCTGTAAAGTCATATACTCCTGACCTAGCCTAAACTAACACTAATTACTCTATAAACATTTGGATACGATTTAAAGAGTAATTGGCAGCGAGTCAATAATTCACCCAGGTGCTCACAACATACGGTACACCTGTGGAGCAATTATCTAGTGGAGATGGGGGAGGGGAGGTGGGGGAAGGTCACATTATGTCTCCAATACAGAGACATCCAGATTTAGTCATCATCTTCCTTAATAACAAACCTGATATAATACAGTACAGTGGTCTGGTTCACAGGTAATCATGGGTATATTTAACATGCTTGTGGATCTGTCATTCCATTACATGTGACACGAAATGCTCTCTCTACACCTGATATAATAAAAGGCAATATATCCACTGAATGATTTGTTAGCGATTCTCCCAAACTTTAAATTCTTTTATTTATAAATCATAGGTACAGTACTTTCTATGTAATGACTGTATTTTCGTTCCAGTAAGTACAGCACCGTAATTTGCTAAAATTATTTAAATCTATCAAGGGGATGACTTCTACAATGAGTGTGGCTAATGTGAAGTCCTCCCACTTTACTGACCCAACCCTCCCCCTCCCAATGCCCCTCCTTCCCCTTAAGTGCACGCATGATAATAATCCAAACATCAAGTCTCGCCACAACACTCACCTTCAGTTGACTCATAGTAAAAAACAGCAAAACCAGGGATGATCTTATGGCTTCCCACACAGTTACCCACTTGAGGGACACACTGCATTGTCCTGTACTTTAGTGGGGGAGCAGAGATATAGTGTGGTAAAGTTAATTGCTGGGATTTCCTTATTATAGGTAGTAGGCAGCTACCAAACAGGGAGGTACTACTGCCTGGGAAGATATTGGAAGCATATGGCATCACCAAAATTGTGACCAAGTCCCAGGTTGCTGATCTGACTTTCTGCCTCATTTACACACAATTGCAGGGTCTCAATTGTTTCTCTTACTATTGACAACACAACATACATATATTGTTTCTCACTCTTGATCTTTTTTTATTTTATTTCTTTATGGTTCTTTATTATTATTATTATTATTATTGCAGTGTGGTGATGGCTGCTTGTCATCCATAGTACAAACACATCCTTAGAGATAAAAGTGACTGCATATATCAGCTAACTTAATGATGAAGGGGTTATGAAGGAGGTACCAATGTAAGTTGGTGAAAGGACCCTGCATGTGATGACTTCGTTGGGCTATCTCATACAGCACTTCATCATAATCGTCATGGGTTAGTGTGGTCAAAACAATTTCCTGCTTACCACCGTTTTATATCTGCAATAGCTATGTACGGTACATTATATTCCTGCAATGTTAATATATACAGTATACTGAATCAATGTAAACTTGTATGACAATTATATTTAATATCTATCCGTCTATCTATCTATCTGTCTAGCAATATTTATCTATCAATATCTATATATTCAAGGTTACAGGGTACTTAATAATGCCAATAATGTTGAACCGAAATAAGAAAAAAATAAAACTGAGTAAACACAAATTACTAATGTCTCTAGGGTCAGTAAGGCACACACTGCACTAAGATGGTCCCAGCAGCTTATGTTAAGGGCCGAGACACCAACGAGCGAGAGAATTTACACCAAAAGGCAATGTCAACCCTGTGTTAGCATTAGTCATGTTGTTATTGTGAGGTGCTATACATACATACATACACACGCTGGTATTCTCTCATCGCTGGGTAAATAAACCCTGATGGGTCCGTTTACTCAGTCGCTGTTTACTAGTTATGTGGGAATAAAATAAGTACTGTATTACTACACTATTGCCTTTGTAAACACTATATATAGTTAACCTGAGGAGCAATACCACTTTACTCTTCCATCCAACTGTCAGAAGGTAATATTTTTTCCCCCCAAAAATTGTCCAACTTTTGCACATGAAGTTTGGAAACACCTTCATCTTGTTGAATCACCAAAACAACAATTACATTATATAAAATTAACTTATGGCCATCAGCCAATCACATGTAATTAATAATATACAGTACGTACTTGCGATGCAATAATTCATAAACTGAAATACAATGACTCTTATCCATATGAATACTGTCCTGTACTGATCTTCACACTAAATTTCTCTTATTCTTTGATGTACAGCAGATAATAAGAGACAAAAAGACACATATAAGTGAGCATAAGCCTCAGCGCAGCATTACAGATTAATACAGGAGTGGTTAAAGTGTTTTACTGTACAGTACGTACTCACCTTCCTCCGAATATCTTTTAACACGTTCCGGGGTAGAAGGGACATTGTGACGCTGGAGTAAAGGACAATTGATGGCGTCACAACTCCTCCTCCTCCTCCACACTAGCTACCACAATCCTTCACTGGGAGCGAACACTCAGAAAGATCAGTCAAGTTATCTTCATTATAACTCACACTTGAATCACTTCACATCTCCATTTTCAGAAAGTTTATATATATATACAAGTCCAATATCATCTCATGTGATAATATATAAACAGTATTCACAGAGTAAAAGCGGCTATACAAACAAATATAGTGGGAGCTATATAGCATATGCTTCTTACAAACGTGTGCATTCAAATCACTCCCCCAAAAATGCCACAAATTTACAGGTTAGGTGACTTCATTCAACTCTGCATTGATCACACAAGTTACAGCATTAGAAAGCCTCACAAAAGTGAGTTCTAGTGTCAATAAAATCAACAAAATACTGTGGTGAAACACTAAGTGTGCAGTGACGACCGGCTCACACCACACTGAGAGCGCTATACTGTACCCAGATCAATCAATATTTGAAATTACCATCATGTGGGCTACACAGGTGTGAGTGACTCTCCCACACGCACTCTGCCTGCTGGTTCCCCTCCCACCCACCATGCCGACTCAACCCCCTCCACTCCACACTGCTTTATTAACCCCCTCCACTCCACACTGCTTTATTAACCCCCTCCACCTCACACTGCTTTATTAACCCCCTCCACCTCACACTGCTTTATTAACCCCCTCCACCTCACACTGCTTTATTAACCCCCTCCACCTCACATGGCTTCACAAGTGGGCGCTCATGTTTAACTACAGTAAGTTCTCAAATTTCGCGAATTTTTAATTCAACGTTTTGCATTTAGACAAAAATAAAACAAAAAACTACGCAATTTCAAATTTTGACGATGGAAACTCGAATTTCGACGGGTTTGAGCGGCCCACCAGTTAGTTCTTAGCAGCGTTGCCGAATTGTAGTCTTCTAGTGACCTTTGGCAAGTAACGGAGGGGGGGGGGGAATGCCAGCAGCACCCTAACCCAGGGCTTAAGGGTTAAATAAATGTCTATTTGTTATAGCATTTACTTATGTGCATCAGAATCAGTAAAATATCTACCACGACATTGCGAAGACCTCATCAGAAATATTTATACACACTTCTCCCATAGTGCCAAAAGGAAATATGAACTTAAACTTGCCCAAACTTTTCTGGACCTTAAGCCACACAAAATCTTACATGCTTGTGCCACTCAATGGCTGTCGTTGCACGCAGCAGTTGAGCGCGAGTTTGAACAGCGAGATGCTTTAAAATTATAAAGTAGTACTACCGTCTCCTACTGGTGTTAATAAAAAGAAAGAAAGAAAACGTCCCCCACTCCCTGTGTATCATTCTCCGTGTTTGTTCCCTAAACACTCATTCCACAGTCAGTGTGGCTTTGGCGGCATCGCTGGTTCTTAGTTGTTTGTGGCGCTAGCAGCGCCATTAGTTCCTTCACGCCCACGCACTGAGACACCCAGAACTTTATCTCTTGGTGATCTCGTGTTCAGACGCTCATTTCGCGCCCTTGATATGGCAAGTGTTGAGCCAGTAGGTGGTGGGGGTCAACCTGTTGTGAATGGAACCCTCCTAAGCGCCCAGAACTGCCAAAGGCAAAAAGGGAGTCCAGAGTTGGCAAGAAACATGCACAATATAGTTTGGCTGACAAGGCAAAAATTGTGGAATACACCGAGAAAGGCATGAAGACCAGTGAAATTCAGCGACTAACAGGTGCACCTGAAAGTACAATAAGAACACTGAAGCAAAAGAAAGGTACGTACTATTAAACAAATAAAAATCGGAAAGAAGTATTTCGGCACCCACGAACGAATGAGTACAATGCAGTGTTATTTTCGTTGGTTTATTAGGATGTTGCTTTATTACAGGTAGTAATTCACCAAAAAAGTAGGGTAAATAAGGCAAAATTTAGCCAAACATCAAAAGTACCAGACTCAAATTAATTTTCTCCACAGGAAGTTGTATTTAACTTTGGACGATTTGAATTTCGCGAGGTTTTTACAGTCTAAATAGGTGTCCAAATATGAGAGCCTACTGTAATCTATTAACATTCTTTTCAGCTGTTTACGAATCAGTAGACGAGGGGCACGACTATGATGTGGTATATCTTGACTTTAGCAAAGCCTTCGACAGAGTCCCCCACGAAAGACTAATAAGAAAAGTGGAGGCTCGTGGTATTGGATTCTAAAATGGATTAGTGCATGGTTACAGGACAGAAAACAGCGAGTGAGCATTAACGGCACTAAATCCGATTGGAGTAACGTCACAAGTGGAGTACCCCAAGGCTCAGTACTTGGACCATTATTACTTATTATATACATAAACGACATAGATATCAACGTAGACAGCAACATAAGTAAATTTGCTGATGACACTAAAATAGGACGTGAAATTAAATCTGACGAGGACTCTGCAAAACTACAGGAAGATCTAAGAAAAATTTTTGAATGGTCTGAAAAATGGCAGATGAAATTCAATGTGGACAAATGTAATGTACTTAGTCTAGGAGATGTAAGCAGAGAAACCAGATATCAGATGAACAACGATGTTATAGAGAAAGATTTAGGAGTAATGATAAGTAGGAATCTTAAGCCAAGTAAACAATGTGTATTTGCTCGAAACAAGGCTAATAAAGTACTGTACTGTACTTGGGTTCATACAAAGGAGTGTTAGTTACAAAACTAGAGAGGTCATCATGACTACCGCAAATCTTGCGCTTGTGAGACCTCACTTGGGTTACGCAGTTCAATTCTGGTCACCGTATTACAGAATGGATATAGAATCCCAAGAAAGAATTCAAAGGAGAATGACAAGACTAATCCCGGGCATTAGGAACCTCGAGTACAGAGAAAGGTTAAAGCATCTTAATTTGCACTCCCTCGAGAGACGTAGAGTGAGGGGTGATATGATAGAGGTGTATAAATGGAAGTCAGGGCTAAACAAAGGGGATATAACAAAGGTACTCAAACTATCCAACCAGGAGCGAACTCGTAACAATGGTTATAAATTAGACAAATTTAGATTTAGACGCGAAATAGGTAAACATTGGTTTGGAAATAGAGTAGTGGATGAATGGAACAAGTTGCCAAACATTATTATTGACTCGAACACGATGGATAGCTTCAAACATAGGTTGGATGGATATATGAGCAATAGGGGTTGGGTGTAAATGGGACTGACCAGTATGGGCCAATAGGCCCACTGCAGTTTCCTCCATTCTTATGTTCTCTTAGGCACTAGACAGGCTGAGATGGATTGGGCATGTGTAGAAAATGGGGGACACCAAGTCCACATTTTGGACTTTTGAATCACTCTGTACAGTAGTGCTTGAACGACTGCAACCTCAAGAACAAGATAAGCCACAACCACAATTAGTGCTGCTTCATATAAGAATATACAGTACCGTACTGGTATATTATTTTTCAGTTATTCTTTAATTTCAATTTATCTCTTCCACCGCTAGTCAGCTCACTAGTGGGTGGGTGGTCAGATGAGGAAAGTTGGATTATTGGGTATTTATTTACTTTCACACCCGATAAAAAACTTACCATATTTTCGATAGTCCAGACAATTCTAAGACACTTTTCTTCTATAACGATATCGTCGCCAATTACTCCGCGAAGCCCCAACTAGGGAAGTTAGGTAAGATTTATCAGGAAAGTTTGCAAACCTATTATTGCATTTTCGCTCATATCAATTCTCCCCACTCAAAACCCCGAGTTCACACAATAAACAAATGTCAAATTCATTTCGTTAAGGAATAATTTGCGACAATATCGTTATAGAAGAAAAGTGTCTGAGAATTGTCTGGACTATCGAAATATTTTAATTTTTTTATATAACGTGAGACGGGTGTGAAAGTAAATATTTACCGAATATTGTGTAGCTACCAGGAAAAAACACTGTCTCTAAAGACCTTTTACAGGATAATCACAAGCGAACATTCATCCACTTTCTCATAAGTTAGTAGAGGTTTTTATTACTCGTATCGAAGAAACTTATGGATAACCTGAAGAATATTCACTCCAACTACTTCACCTGAAGATAAACCACCCTAACACTAACCTAACCCCACCCAAATAGTGTTATGGTGGTTAAGGTGAAGTAAGCAGGGGTGGAGATCATTCAGGTGAACCTACTTATTATTTTACTCTTAAGAATAAAAAAATAACATAATTTTAAGTTTTCATTAAATATGGAGTCATTACAGCTGAAAAGTCTAATTTCCATTCCACTTATGAAGCAACATTGTTCTCACCCACACTAACAAAAACAATCACTGAACTATGTGTTAGTTTCAGCAGGAGTGAAGCTTTGAAAGACTTGAACACACATCACCGGGTGGGTTATACCTGCTAAAATCAGATATAATTCAGTATGGTTTGTCTGCCTTCACCACAGAAAGCATAAATCAGCAGCTTATTTCCTACATACTTCATATGCACCAAGTTTTTATGTTGCAAAAGTTTTAAAAGCTGGGAATTTCTCAATCTCACCCTACAGTAATTCGTAATATAAATCACGAAGTGTTCCTGTAAAACATAATCCATTAAGTAATGTACCGGGTAAGGTAATTACTGAAGACTGTAATGTAATACTGCACTAATTCTGTTTCTAATCCCTTTACAAAATAATAGACAACCATATAAATATAAGAACATTTAATATGTGTGTGTTTAGTAATAAAGTATATCATAACTAAACCGGAATCACTGATAATTGCATAATACAGTAGTAAGGTTGAATGAATCACACACAGGGATCACTTCCTTCCTGCAGTCACGATATACATGTCCCAGCATCATATGAATGCACCATAACGCTTCTGAAAAGTATACTTTACATCCATTAGATGAATTACCCGCACATGCGACTCTCTGATATTGATATAATAACTCGATTCTAAAATAAATCATTACGTATACTTTTTTTCAGAAATATTGCAACAGCACCATACATGCAAATCACTATAACGCGCAAAGCCACAGAATTAAATTAATATTTTTATACAATAAACAACACCAGAATGGATTCACGCACCTAATAATCGATGAATACCTGTTGAATCATCACTAGTGAGTATTTAGTTCACATAAAGAGACAAGAAGGAAGTCCTAGCCAATCCTCCTTCAC